AACAAGTCATTGTATACACTTCTAAACATCGTTTGCGCACTTAATGCTGGTGAGAATTTCATTCCCTTCCGGGAAAGCAAATTGACCCGCTTGCTGCAAGACTTCTTGTGCAAAGCAAGCAGAGCTGTCCTGATTACATGCTTGGTGAGGCCATGATTTTAGTCTCCATTTATCCTTATCAATGTGGTTATTGTCTTTCTCATCTTCAAACTTATTGTTTTTGATTAAGCTTCTGTTTATATTATTTTTTCCTTAATCTGTTTTAGAGAAGCTAGTCTGATGATCAAATGGTATTCACTGTAGAATCCAACTATCTGTCAAGACACTCTCAGTGCGGTCAACTTGGCATCTAGGTCATGCCAAGTAGCCAATCGACATCGGTGTCACTCAGCCAAGGTCACTAAGAGTGGTTCAAAGTTCAACCAATCATGTTCCCCTTCTATTGTTGGAATACCCGTGAGAGCTGTTTCACAAAAGAAAAATGAGATCTCTCAATGTGCATCAGCTGAAAAGAAAGGATATGGAACCCCATATGCCATAAGGAGGAGGTAGTACTTGTAAATTAATTATTTGTTCTCCTTAATCTCGTTTTGTTTTAGCCTTGAATCAGCCCTGCATCAAGGGTGATAAAAATACTATTAATGGCAGGTCATTACAGCTAGGAAGTCTGGGAACCTGCTTTTCTGAGAAACAAAAAACTGGTTTCCCATCTGCAATAAGAAAGAAGTACGTGCTCTTACTAAAGTCGTTTCTTTGTAAGAAATCAGAAGTAACTTTCTGCCGAACCTTGTGCTCAGGAAAATGCCCATTGGATCAAGTCCTCCAAACAAAAGTGAAAGTCGGAAGGTATGGATGTTCAACATTCCCATATTACAAGCAAATTTAGTATTGGATACCACAATATACATTTGATTTATCCTAGCATGTCCTGGTTGATGTGTCTATGACTTTAAGTGGACCATGTTTTTTATTGTACCAATGACACCCATTAATTCCTACGCCATGAGTTCCTTGATACATACTCATATACTTCAAATAACACCCGTCTGAACCAAAACATGTTCGTGGAGCTAAAAGTTGGCCACCTCAGAGACAACACTCTACTTAAGTTATGAAATTATGAGTCTTTAAGTTTTTATTTTTAAAGTTGATTAATCTTTTAAGCTTATTCAGGCTAATTCCAGAGTAGACATTGTTGCAGCAGTTGATACATGCAGTCAGGTACTAGTTTTTTTTGGAAATGATCCAATTATTCTCTAACTTTTTGTAGAAATCAGATGGTTGAATTGTTGTTTTATTAAAAGATAACCATAAGGCTTTGCAGGGTAACATTGTATTGGATTATGTGGATGTAGATTGTCCTATGTTAGAAGAGGTAAATATTAGTTCCTTTTCTTTTATGACATGGTCAAGCATTTGTAAAAGATATACTGTTCTAGTATGACTCTTTACAAATCTCAGCGATGGCAAAAGATCCAGTCGGGACCTATGGTTTTATTATTGTTGTATACTGCTCTGGTATGATTAGACGATTTTTTTCCCACCCTTCTTTTCTGAAAGAGATTTTTTCAGGAAAGCTGTGAATCGGTTGGTCCAAATTGTGTAGAAAATATTATGCCAACAGGGGTCAGTTTCTCCGCTCAATGATAAATTTGACATGCTGTTCCGTTTATGTTAATGTGATAAATAACTTATCTTTTTTTTTATTTTATTCTGGTTTCAAGGGTGATTGTTATACAAATGAAGACACTTTTGTCCAAGACACTGTTGTTGGACTCGGATGTGATGAAAAGATGACTGCTGATCCAATCGGTATGTTGCAGGTTGTTTTTACTTTTTACTGATTCAAATACTATTTCTCTGGTATAATATGCTTCTCATCAGACAGATTTTTCTATTTTGTAATTTGTAGATGGAACCAAGGATGAGATCCACAAAATTTTTGTCAATGAGGATCAATCATCTCCACCGTTGAGTGCAAGACTCAGAGAAATATCAAACTCATTGAAGCTTTTGAGCACTCAAACAACTGCTATTGGATCACCAAACACTGACATGACATCTACCAAACAAATAAATAAGGAAAAACTTGACCCCAAAACTCCTGAAGTTCCTTTTGCAGTGAGATTAGAGAATGAGCCAAACTTTGACTACATTGGCAGTCCGCAGGACATCTTTAAAACTCGCAGTACAGGACTGAAGGTCGTTCATAACTTTTGTGTGTTTAATGTTGGTTTTCTTATCTTGACTAACGGATGCATTCTCTCCTTTTGTCATATACAGAAGTATCTAGCTCAGGAGTGTCTTACTTTCCTCAATAGTGCTAACAAGTAAGTAATTTATCTTACTTCATAGTCAGAAGAAAGTTTTTCAATGCTATAATCAGCTAAGCCATATTGAAAACTTTTACTTACATATGTATCTTTGGATTTTTAGGTTCTTAACATAGTTAAAAAGAAATGAGTCATTTAAGATAGCACTGTATTTAATTCTGTAAATATGAATGGTGTGGATAGCATAATGTTATCAGTAGACATTAGAATTTTTTCATTACATGAAGGCTGATAAGAAAAAATATTATTGTCATGTCTTTCTAAGATGTGTAAGTTAACACCTAAATATCATGCATTGTGAGAGTGGATAAATAAGTTGTTCTTGAATACTATGATTTACATTACATTTTCATGATGAGAAGTGTTTGTGTCACCGACAGCCAAAGCCTGCACCTTTTTATTAATTTATTAGTACAAATTGTTGCCAAGAGGGATTTGAATAGATATTTCCAAGAGTGAGCAAAATGATCAACTTCTGTGGTATCTTTACAAAAAAATGCAACTACTACTACATCATCAAGAAGTCCTTATTACAAATCATGTTACTAAAAATGCATATGGCTCTACCGTCTGCATTTAGCAGTAATCGAAAGCTGCACTCCTAATTGTGTTTTGCTATGACGTATAGGCAACTATATTTATCACAAGCAGTCATACGATCAATTTTATCCAGTGGTTGGCTTAATAATAACTTTTCATGAATATTCAATCATATATAACTTTTATTGTTTGGTGTGCTTATGTTTGATGTACTTGTCTTGATTTTGGCAATGCAGGGAGGAGCTTAAGGGATTAAAGGTCCAATTTATATCACATGACTAGTTCACTCTTTATCCCGTTTAGTTGTTTGCTAATTCCTTTCCTTTCCTTTCTGCAGGGAATTGGAGAGAAGAGAGCAACATATATTCTTCAGCTTCGTGAAGAATCTTCCGAACCCTTCAAGAATGTAAGCATCATAATTCAGATATCCTCTTAAAATTACTTGCAGCGACAACTCATGGAAATTTGTGAAATGTACAAAGCTGACCACCATCGTTTCTGTATAATTTACTAAAACTGAAATTTCTTTAAAATTCCAGATGGATGATCTTAAAGAGATAGGCTTGTCTAGAAAACAGGTAATATTTCGACGAGATATGGTTGAACTTGTTTTTTACTGGGATCCTGTTTGAAATTTCTTATAATTCCAATTTCTTTACGTCTTGTAAGTGGTTGTATCTCCAAGGTGGAGGACTCATTTTGTTGGATAAAATGGCTATCATCTTACAATGTTTCTCTTTCTTTCAGATAAATGCAATGATGTCACAAGTCCTTGGAGATTTTTAGGCTGGCATTGCAATGGCGCTGTGACTTGTACATGTGAATCATGAATGTGGTATACCAAAAAAATCGATTGGACCCTTTGTTGAGTTGCTGATAGCTCCCCAGATGTGTAACTAATGCTTACTCTTTTGGTTGCTTAACCAGAGGATTGTCACCTTTGTTGAGTTGTACTTGATATCATGCCTACACATGTAGGTTGTAAGCTACTTCGATTATTGCTTGGATAAAAAGCTTGTAATACAGTATGAGGGATATATTGCAACTCTTGTTATCATGGATGAAAGAATCGAAAGAACGTGTCATCACCCATCTAGATTTGTATTTCGAAAGCACTGAATTGTTTCCACTATTTATTAATTGGGGGGGGGGGGGGGTAAGCCATGTCAACTTTGTTGACTATAGAGAATTCTTTCTTTTTTTCCTTCTCTATAAGCCATAATAATTTAATGTGATTGTTAAAACAGACTTTAGCTCTCCACTTCCAAATTCGTCTTAAGGGTAAAGTGTCTAAAAGTCAAGGGTTAGAACAAAGACCCTATAAAACCTACATTAGGGCATACCTGACAAGTTCTTTCGATGCTTAGGTCAATAAGAGATTCAAATAATTCGATAAAACAAAAAAATCAATAAAAAAGAGTTAGAATCCCTTCAGAATACACCTAAAAGACCAACCATAAGTGAAGGTTGTCACGATAAATGTTAGGAAGGATTACTCCCGACCATCAATGAGCCATTACGATTATAGGATAACAACTCACTCTAAGCTCAAAGTTGCCGACCTTGATATAAGTCAATCTTATTGGTGCCACGTTACCTATACACGTGTCATGTCCACATATCAGTAGTGATCACATCTTTGATGTCCTCGACAGAATCCAACTAAGTTCATGCCCCCATATTGACCAGACATCTACCTACCTAAATCATGCCCACATACCGGAATCCAACCAAGTCTTGGACGATTGTAGTTGTGACATCGGCTTGAGAGTGGACCATCCTCATATGAGGGATTAGATTTTGTGGAAACTGCAGCAAGTGAAGCTCACATGTGTTGCCGATGTCAGCGAACATTCCCTTTTGCTCCATCCGTGCAACGGATTAGAAGTTGATCTTTTTAGATAGATCCCGCAATAGAAAATAACACATTAGAAGACATGGTTTATGAACTACTACTACAAACATATCCATCATAACTTCAATATATTTCACACTGATGATTGATCTAATTGTGCATAGAGCTTCATATGATTGTATGTACAGTGAGATACAATCATTTGTTGTTGTTTTACCTTACTAAATTAAGCTTTGTACTGTAACTAGAGATCAATCTGCAAGCAAAAGATATAGGTAAAATGAATTATAGAAGTTTCCCATGTAAATCCAAGATTAAATAGCAAAACAACAACAAATTTGTGTTTATTGCAGTTACTAACATCATAAATGAAGATAGAGAAACTCAACATAACTCCATGTATCGATGGAGATATCCACAACCATAAAAGGGAATTAATGACCAAGAGGGCAGTGAAATTAAATAGACAAGTTCCTTAAAGCACTGTCTATATGCTGTGATGTCCGATTAAAAAAAAAAAGAAAACTGATACCTCATTCAGGGCTGTTTCCGGCACTCACCGTCTCTTGAACAGTTAAGTCAACAGGACTGCCTTCGGCATCAACTGTTTCTTGCGCAGGTAAACCGACGACACTTTCTACCTTCTTCTTCAGGCCAGTAAGATCCATTACAGCAGCAATTTGCTCCCTTATCTCTCTCTCCAATTCCTCCACTTTTTCATCACTGGGACCACTGGCTATCTGCTTCTTCAACTCTTCTATTTTCCCCCTAATGCCAGCCATATCTACTGCCTTCTCTATTTCCTTATTTATCACCTCATCTGCCTTTGCTAATTTCTCACCTAACCCAGGTGGAGATGTTGGTCCTATCTTCTTAACCGATCCCACCACTTCAAGATTCACAGATTTTAGCATTTCCGCTAACTCTTCCTTGGCACTTTCCACCTCCTTGATCTGATCATCATCTAATTGTTCCCCCTTTGCCACCTTATCACGCGCCTTTCTCAGTACCTCCATCTTGCCTTTGACCTTCTCTTTGAGTTTCTCATCGAGTTTTTCATTAATCTGTTCCTTAAGCTTCTCTCCTCTAGCTTTCAAGTCCTGCAGCCTGTTAATCTTAAAAAGCAGTACAAGTTTCTTCTTTAGGCCCATGTAAGATCCACGACGAGATAGATTGTGCTTAAATTTGTTCACCAGTCTATCTGCTTTTTCCTGCAAGGTTGGACTAAGTGTTCCATCAGGCGTGCTCGGAGATTTGGATAACTCCATCTTAAGAGCTTTGACCCTTCTTTGTAATCCCATTGAAATGAAGGCCTTTGTCATTTCCTTGTCAATTTCTTTCCTAAGTTTTTCTATTTTGTCAGAGATGGTTGGCATAGGATATTTGCCTTTAGCTTCCACTACTGATTTCTTTAGGTTTTCAATTTCCATCACTATGTCAGCTTTGACTTTGGAAAGGTTGACTTCCTTCTTTTTCATGTTAAAATTCTTAGTTGGTGGAAGAGGTTTGCCTTCTAGATATCCCCCTATTTGCCTGAACTTCATATGGCGATGACTAAGTAGAGTTTCTTTGTCCATTGCAGCAAGCTCCTGAGTTAGATAACTTAGTTTTTCATTATCTTTACAAGAAATCAAACAAAAAGAGAACCATTTACAAATATTTCTAATAAAGCAGAAATAATGCAATAATATTTGGGTTATTCTTGAGGATGCTACCTTACAGAATATTAAAGTATTTTCTCTTCAATTAAAAATATTTCTGCTGTAATAATTTGGACATCTAGCACATTCTAATTAGAATGGATATGAACCATTACTATTTATTAAAACATGGAATGTTTTTCAGCTAAAGAGATGAAGATAAGTATTGAAATAAGTTTTCTTCTTCAGCAAAGATCATCATAGACTTCACCTCAGAAAGAATGAGAGGGCATGTTTAATGATTCATGCTACAAGATCTGCAATTATATACACTGAATTGAAAAACACTGCAATCTGTAAGAAGCCATTTTTGTGTCAAGGATTTAAAATGAATCCAGCTCTGTACAGAAAAGTTTCTGACCAAGGAGAGAAGGTGAATTTAACTGCAATTCTTTATAATATCTTTCAGTAATTAAAGCACCTTTTTTGTAATCTTAGGACACGCAAATTGACATTTAAATCTGTTAAGGAAAACCAAGTTACAGACACATGTTTTTTAAGTTAATGTATCAACACAAGCAACCAACTGATGATCTTATATTGAGAAAAGTTTTCTGGGAATGAAGGGTTGAAAGAGCAAACAGTATTATGTCCGAAATGTTTCTGATTACAATGACCCTTCAAATAATATTAACAAATGCAGTAATTAAAAGAGATGTTTCTTTCAGAATTGAAAAAGGATGAGACCCACAAGTTGTAGAGATAGTACTTCTAACATACTATTTAGCTTTTTTAATTCTATGTTAAAAATAAACAAAATTGCAAAACAAAATGTACCTGCATGGCCTTCACGAGTTTAACCTTTATCTGCTGGGATGTCCATGTTGGATCAGTATGCGCACCACCAAGAGGTTCCTGAGTGATATATGGTATAACATGAACATAAAAAGCTTCCTTTTCAAATATAACTTGAAAACTAGCAGAATTTTCTGCTAGCATTTTCTAGAGATCAACACTTAATAATGAAAAAGACAAACTAAAGTGTACCCACCACAGGTCTGGTTTACTTCCCCAGAATATTCATGCAAAGCAAGTACAAATACAGGACACCCTACTCTAATTGGAATATTTTGCAAATACAGAAACAAATTTATATATTCCAATCAGTGATATATAGTCGCTTCAGCTAAAAGTACACCAACCTATATAACATGCGGAAATAAATTAGTATGGGTTAATTCTTGAAGGTTCCTCAAACCCAAAAATATACTGTCATTCTTTTACCTAAAAGCTTGTTTATGCTCCCAATGTCATATATCTCATCTTTAATTCAGACATTTTCATATTTCAATCATATAAGAAACTAATAAAGTACCCAAGGATAAAGGAAAGTGGAAGACGATCGATAACTTTGAGATAATACGACAGAGCCTCTATGATGCCGACAACTATAGGAGTTCATCATATTCGCAACCTTCATATCACAAAGGATGGCTAATAGATGTACGATGACGGTTAGTCTATTTTTTTTCCAGAGTCAATTGGTTCTTACACCACAGAATAACAATTTAGTGCTGATACCCACAGTTCCGGTGCACTCAAATCTCAATCTCTGCAACCCCTATCACTCTTGCCTTAGGAGGGTCCTAGGAGACGTTAATAATGATGAGACAAAGAATGATACCACATTAATGCATCAATGGCACACTGTTTGGGTTCCAACATTGGGTCCAATAAGCCTACAATATTGACAAACAACTCCAAAAGATATATTAATTCAATGATAGATATATATATAATGTTATTCAATTCAGCGATGGAAGTGTATATATTAATTCAATTCCATGAACCATTGGACCACCGACCATGGAGTCTAGTCATTCAATTTGGTGATAGAAGTGTATACATTAATGTTATCTCGATAATTTATTTTGCTAAAATCGTAGAGTTACGAACCTGATCCAACATCTCTACTCTTGGTGGGCCACTTCAATCAATGGAAGCAACTTTGACGAAGGACCATTTGACAAAAATCTTCCTATAGCTTAGATAATTTTTTTTTATTTTTGATCATTAGAGTCTAGAATTTCTATTTATTTATAGCTTAGATATAGTTGATTCTTATTTAATTTAAGTTTATGTACCAAGAAAAAAGAGAAAAAACTCTAAAATAGGGGGGTTTTTTTTTCCATTTTCGACTGATTTTTCATTGTTTTATGAATTCCAATACATACAATGTACCAAGTGTCGGTGCATCAGTACCAACTGGCACATACCGATCCATGGTATGCACGATCGATACCAGATGGCAATAGTTGCTAATATTTTTAAGAGAATACATCTTTCCTTTCCATCAAAAATTCCAATTTCATAAAATATTGTTGTCTTGCCACCTCAAAGAAAAAGTAGAAATTGATGGGGAATCTTTGTGCATTTGTACCCAATTATTTTATTCACTGTTGTATAAAATCTGATTTTTTTCACTGTTGCCAAATTAAGGTGACACTTAATAGATCATACACTACAGTCAGTCAGCAACACTAATGTCATATCTAAAATGACTTTTGTGTTAAACTTCCAATCCTGCTTCTAAACTATAATCTTCAGCTGCATCTGCATCTGCATCTGCATCGGCATCTGCAGAGCTGGAGGCCAGTTAGCAACTTCAATAGAAGGCCTTAGAGATACCATTACCTTTAACAATCTTAGCCATTCCAAAGACCTTAATCAGATCATCTTCATAAATTTTGCAGCTTACTAAACCATATACAAGTTCATCAGTTCTTCAGACGTGGGTTACCCACTATGGAGGCCTTTAAGGATAAACTTCTTTCTGGACATGCTATGTCACTTGCCCAACCTTCCTAAGCAGACCACTTTCACATGTTTTGTAGCTCAATCGACCCATTAGTAAATTCACAAACTTTTGTAATATTACAATGGTGTAACATACTGATATCAATCTGATATTTGCATCAAATTAGAATGAAAAGGATAAGAACTTACTGGAATGATCCCATCTGCAATTTTTAATTTACAAAGTTCGGTGGATGTGATCTTCAGTTGCTCAGCTGCCTGTTAATGTTACTGTAAATACTTCAAAATATAAAAGTACTTAAGCTCATAGAGGGCATATATACGGGACAAGATATATACCTCAGGAGCTTCTTGAGAAGACTTCCACAAAATTGCAGCACATGCTTCTGGACTGCACAGAACATGATAGATTGTTTATGGTACAATAAAGAATATGGCAAGAAACATGTCATGGCGTGTAATGTGTTAATTCATAATGGTAGCTTTTTTAGGTTTGAAAAGAAAAGGAGTCAAAAGTAGCATAGAGTAATCTAAATGTTTTCCTCTCCTTCATCACCACAGCTGCAAGTCCAACAGATTTCTTATAAGTATGCGTGTGAGCAATAAAATAGGTTTTCATTTCTCCAAAAAAGAAAATGTAAGGGATTAGATTGAAGGGGATATCAGAGCCAAATGGCTGGGGGGAAAGTCCATCTAAATGGGTCCGAATAATTGGAATATAAGACTTTTAGATGAACAATTGAACCAACTCAAACATATGTATATTGAATATTTTATGACCAATTAAAACATGCAACATCCTTAATGTCTCAGTAAAACTGATGGAATTTGTTTAGGCTTTATGGTCAGACATAACATCACAGAAATGAATTGGTCTTTGGCCTGGTGGACCTCTCAAAATCCAATGCAATTTATTGTTCAATGTAGATTCTTGAATTGAATTATACAGCCAAAGTACAAAATCATGAATTTATTCAGCACTTGAATGTTTTCTGTCTGGTGAACATCAAATATAATCAACTTAAAAATATGAATTTTCTTCACAGAGTGTACGGGGATGCAAACTCACCTGGCAACATAGAAGACTGAATTTTCCAACATGTACATTTTGTTTGCACAGCCAATAGCAAGAGCTCCACCAGATCCACCTTCACCAATAACAATAGTGACAATTGGAACCTTCAGGTCAAACATAGTCCTTAAGTTAACGGCTATTGCCTCCCCCTGCATTAATCAGATCCACACGCACAATGATACATTTCTTTCAAATGACACAAATTTTATAAACAACAGTTCCAAATAGAAGGGGATGAGGCTAAACTACCTGGCCAAGTTCTTCAGATTTAAGATCAGCAAATGCCCCAGGTGTGTCAATAAATGTGATGATGGGAAATCTATGGTGGTCTGCATACCTCATCATACGCAAGGCCTTACGGTAACTACACATAGTCACATGCATGGTAGTGAGGTAAAGGCTTTGCATGTGAAAATAGATCACATAAAAATCTTACAAAGACTAAGAAGAACATTGGAGAAAACACTAAATAATTAGAAGCTCTACATGCATAATTAGCAGGTGGAAGTAACCTCATAAATATCACAAAATTTGCGAAAGCAATGAGCTGACAAACTACAGTAATATGCATTTCATAATTGAATTACTAACCAGAAGTACATATTCCAAAATAATTTTGAAAATAACATTCATATCACAAAAAGTGTCAGCCACTCATTCGAAAAACAGAAAAATTAGAAATGGATTTGTCAATTCAATACCCGTGTGGAGTAGGCATTCCAAAATTGCGGTGTATATTTTCTTTAGTGTTCCTGCCTTTCTGATGACCAATAAATGCATACGTGTTCCCATCTATGGTTCCAAGACCTGTTACAATGGCAGGGTCATCATAACCTGCACGGTCTCCATGAAGCTCGACCCACTGTGAAACAACCACAAGGAAGATGTGAGCTTGAAAATTTACACAGAGAATTATGAAGAAAGCATGTGATGTGGGTATATACCTTGTCAGTAATGTTCAACACATGGTCAAGAAATGTTGGCCTGTTGGGATGCCGAGCAATACTCAATCTTTGAATAGGAGTCAAATGTGTGTACAAGTCTTTCAGGGCCTGGGATGATTCAGCAGAATCAGGAAAGGAGATCTCACAGGGATTATTATCAGAAACAGAACAAAATTCAGCAGACACAAGTACTAGGGTTCATGAGATAAGTAGCTACAAAGACCATAATGAAATATCTAACTACATCTCTAAATGGTTGACCAAAACTTCCTTTTCCATATGGAATTACAGGTAAATCAAATGGAAATCCATGCTATATGCACTCCTAAATGTATGTTAAGTCTTCTGAAATGCTGCCTTGCAAGAAAACTTCCTATAGGCCTCATATTAAATACTACTCAGCACATCCTTCAATGAGGCAGAGTAGGTGGTTCAGAGCATATGATTTAATGAGGCCATTCATCAAGGAAGTTGACCAAAAATTGCATAAAAGATGGAGGTGACTATCTAGGCATGTTTGGAACTTGAATCTTATGCTAACTGGATTGCTCTAAACATAACATTTCAAATGAGTATACACCGCCTAGTATTAGAACCAGGAAACACTCACAGAATGAGACTGAAGGAAAATTTCTAATAGTAGAACCACTGAGAGACAAAAGGCATGAAAATAAAAATCTAAATTTGTCAAGGCTCAGTAAAGCTAACATAATTATGGCATTGTTCACAGTGGTAAGAAAAATGTGACTCTGGGCTCATATTGCCAAAGCAATCACATGAATTTGTTGCATTGCCTGAAGAAAATTATTCTGCTAATGATATCCCATGCTATCTGTTAGTGCCTATAGGAATTGGCTAACAAAGCAATACACGGACAGTATGTTATCAAAATGATACTAAAACTGGAAATATTAATAGCAGGTGACTCGAGCAGAGGAAACATTTCCAGTCCTCACCCTTAAAATTGCACCTACATGACATAATTTAGTAACTGTTCTTTTATGTTTGAAAATCACAAACTCTTTGAAGAAATTATAAAGTAAAACCCGTCCAAATTATGAGCATTGTTTTCTGCAAAATGAGTAAAAGAAATATTCTTTCATTTTGATGAAATTTGGCCCCTTTTTTTGCCCCTCATATTTTCTGTAACCAAGAAAATATGCACTTCTACTGAAAAGTTTACTGCCCATATCTAGAAATTAAAGAATTATATCACCTTGCTCATTCACATTTTGATCAAAATGTAAGTCACAATGCAAGACATACCCAGTATAATAAAAGATTGAATAATCATAATGCAACCACAGAAAACAAAATAAAATTTAATAATTTCCATCTCCATGTAGGAGGTTTTAACAATTTGTACTGTTTCAAGGGACCTGTGATTTCCAGAAACTCCTTTTTACAAAGTGCTGAGACAACTCAAAATTTGAATATAAAATGGACTCAGGAATAATTTCCTACATCAAAACCATATGTGGGAATCCTAGAAGGAAGTGCAATTTATCTGATAGATTATAAAACTACTTATGACATAAGACTTTAAAAGACTTTGAAATACAAACAATCACCACTGCAGCTCCCATGTATATTCTATTCTTTCTTTTCATGCTGTTCAATGCTCAACGAGACTACCAGCCACATAAATAAAGCCTAAAAAGCAGTGAACAATTAAAAATTATATCTTAACAAATTGAACATGTATTAGTGACAGATATATTGTAACGATTCAAGCAATTCCAGTTTCCCAATTTTCTTGAGGTATCCACTACATATCAACAAAATTCACGGTGAACTTTCTGCTGTGATCAAGTTTTCAACATCCAATTGAGAAGATGGGCCGCACAAATGTGGACTTATGCCATCTGCAAATGGGGCAACTTTTCCTTCTTTTATTTATCCATTATCATGCAAGTAAAGGCACTACAAGTACAACCTGCTGGTATTTGCTTTCCAGTAGATTAATTTGATCAGTGAAGTCCAGACCAGTCTCATCAGCCATTTTACGCACCTGCAAAAAATTACACTCAGAGATCATTAAAGAAATCTGATGAAAACCCCCATATCATCAGTAAAGCATTCAAGACAGTGGATAACATGATGGAAGGAAAAGAGACAAACTCCAACAGGCTCCCTAGTTCTTGAAGTAAACACTATAATCACCCATGAAACAAGAAACACAATAGAAAACAATGAATGTTGAAGAGTTGAAGTGCAAGCAAATCCATAATACCGTGTGTGAACCATGCGCGAAAGTGAAACATTTGGTTTACAAATGCCTTATCTTCACTGGTCATTTATTTGTAATAAATGTTGGGCCAATCCTAACTAGTTTTATTGTGTACACACTTCTTGGTTGCTGTAGGGAAATCATGTTAATAACACAAACTCCAACTTTTCATTATATTCTCTCACTGCTGAAACATGAATCATATATAAAATTATACATAATATTATATAATTGGAAAAATAAAAAAATGCACTCTATTACACAAATAACACAAACTCCAACTTTTCATTATATTCTCTCACTGCTGAAACACGAATCATATATAAAATCATGATATGCAACTTTGAATGGTACTGCCCAGTATGGGTGGTACATACCAGTCCGACGGCATACTGGTACGCGGACCGCCCGCTACCGGACGGAACGTGCTACAGTAATAGGAAGAAATATTTAAAACCGCTCGGTACGCCTTGGTGTACCGCTCGATACACAGTACCGTACCATACCGAGCCAACCTCGAAACACTGGTACGATACGGTATTGCATACCTTGTATAAAATTATACATAATCTTATAGAATTGGAAAAATAAAAATAATGCACTCTATTACACAAATATCTCAAACAAGAAAATTATTGGCTTCATGAAGATCTCATGATTCATGATATAGTACCACTCACGTTTTAATCTTTATATTCATGAGACTTGCATAGTAGAACCTTTCATAGACATCATTGTTCTAGACAATTAATAGTCATATTACATGTCAGATAAATATATAGATATGCCAAGTAGAATGAGCCATGCATAATTATCAGCATATAAGATAGGACAAGTCTAACATTTCATAATATCATGTGCCAACTTCAATAGGCGAGAATAAAGTTGTTTGACTAAATAGCAGTCATCACTAAACATCAAAGCCCCATTCCATAAGCACAGAGTGGAAGTCCACAACACAAGTAGCAGCTAAAAGACTAAAATAATATAAATGCATAACCTGTTGAAAAACTAATCGACTAAATATCAAATGTTATAAATACAAAACCTGATGCAAAACTTACATCAATAATCTTCTTTTGTAGTTCAACCAATGGCTTCTCAAATTCAAGAGTAACCGGCTTTGGTTTTTCCATGAGAGGCTTGAATCGAGACAAATAGCTCAAGTGGCCACTTTTTAAATTTGGATCAATATCTTCTGGCCAGGGATATTCATTCTTTTGTCCTTTTTTAATTCTTGCAACAACACAAAACCTATGCCCATTTCTACGTGTAGATTGTCCAAAATGCTTCAGCCAAACTCTGCTAACTCCACTGGACAAGACCCTCCGTTGTTCAGCACCAAGGAGACCATTCCATGTATAAATATGTGATCCAGATACATAACTGCTACTCTCCCCACATACATTGGCTGCTGGTGAGAGGAAGAGAGAGTTCATCTCAAAATCCTATTTCTCTGCGAGAAATGCAACTCCTTTGATATTTTTATGTTGAAAACAAACCAAATCCCAAGTGCTTCACTCCTGCATCACAAAAGATTAAATAAATGAGCAGCTAAACTCATAATGCAAGTGCTTGCAAGAAATCATGATGATGGCTCCAAGACCAGATGAAGCCCCTTAGCACACTCGACAACCCTCGACTAGTGGAGTGACCATAGAGTAACGCAACCAAAGTTTTCAATGTGTAATCAATCACAAGCACTTACTAGACCTTAAGTAAAAGAAGTTTCTAACACAAAGACATAAACATCAAGAAGGTCATACATCCGATTTACTTTCTGATGAAATTATATCTTCTTTTTTTTGTAATAAAAAGAAGAGATGATCTGGGTAGTTGAGTATCCATGACCTAATCTTGAAAGTAAGCTAACTTATGTATAATCAAATTATAAATTAAGAAACTCGAATTAGTAACAAAGGCTACAGACATAGACATTTAAAAAATGGGGGCATTTACGATCTCTATCTGCTTAACAACCCTAAACTCCGCCGGATCTAACTTACGCCGCTCTTTTCAGATGCCATCACGCTCCTAGACCTCGAACGAGGACCAGAAAACAAAGTAACCGTACAATTCGATAACAAGCGACGACAACATTCGACCCCAAAACCTTAAAAAGTGAAAATATCTCAAACATACAGCTTAACCTTTCAATCCCTTTCAAAGATATCTTGAAACCAATGAATCGTGACAAAATGAGCATAAAACCCTAAAGCGAACATCAAAACTATGTTACCAGGAGCACCGCGATCCAGCTTCTGATGCTCGATCCGGGAAAAGAAGAGATGGGGGTCGGGGATCTCGGGGTTAGAGTGGCTTGCGGGTGCTAAGAAGCAGGGATCCCGGCGGCTTCTACAGAGCTCAAACTGAGTAGAGGAAGAGAGATGGAGGAAATAAATAAGGGGTTAGGGGTAAGCCATTTGGTTGCAGATGATGCTGATGGCGGAAGGAGTCGGGCGATAACTCCGAAGCCAGCGATTCCCATCCACCTTGCTCCGAAATGTTGGGCTCTCCGTCTCTAAGCTCGAGATTCGTGCCTTTCCCATCGTACGGTCGAAACTCCTTCTCCCGGTTGGCGCTTAACATGGTAACTTTGGCATTCATCTCACTCTACCCTCTTGACCACCTGGGCAGCAAATGGAGAAGTTTCGGGGCCCACTATTCGCCGCCTCGGAGTAATGGAACGGGTATCCGTCTCTGATGCTATAAAACGGACGCTGGAGTCTTAATGCACATGATCCGTCGCACCATCCTTTTGTTCTCGCGTCGTCCGTACCCACCTACCCATGTGGGACCCAATTGTGCCAATCAATTGCAAGGCTGGTAAGGGGAGATAGAATGGCCGATAGACAAATGGGTCGGGATGTGTTCTTGACGCACGTGGCTTTAATGTACCATTGGTAGCTCAACGATAACACAAAGCGAAACGGAAATGGCGGCGTTAATAATAAAGTATAAACCACAATTTTCTGTTTGACAATAAAGTAAAAAAACACACCTTCATCAATAGAAAATCAATAATAAACGTACATATCAACTAAGTTTACGATGTCAAGTAACTTCCTTTTATGATGGATTGATTGACCATTGATCAATATCGAGCTTTGGATTAATCCAATGTTACAATAAAAGGACTTTGAAATATAATGTTATTTGATTTAAATGGTTCCAAGTTTATGAATAAAGACTTATATGCCATTTAATTTACACTTTGTTCTAATGTTCTACCTAATGGGCGAAAGCATGAGAAAGCCATCAGTTAATGTACTCATATAGGTGCCATTGAAAACCAAAACACTTATGCACAATGCATTATTTTCGCCTTAATGTACACATTAACGATATCAGCATACAAAAGAGATCTTTAGTGAACAAGGAGAAGTTGAGGGAGAAGAGAACAAGGAGTAAACTGAAATGGAAGTCGTTTCTCGCAAACTTTTGGAGAAAGACTCGCTCACATCTTCAAACAGAGATCCACATACTGTAGTTCCATGAAGGATCCACTTCAGGAAGTCGATACTCATCAGGTTTAAGAGCCACAGGAAAATCCGGCAATGTTGGTGCTCTCTCAAGGATCCTGTAAATGGCCATTAGGTGTTTAGGAATCAGTTTGACTGGCAAATTTTATCTCCCATTAAATGGCAAATAGTTTGATGCGACACAGTTTGGTCCAGAGATCACAATACTACAGTGGTCGATATGATCCGATGAAGAATTAGAAGTGGTCAAATTTCAGATGCAAAAAATTTCAGATACAGAGTATTAGCTATAAATTCATGATGGCCTTTTAAGAGAGATTACAAAGTCAAGTCCGCTGAAGGAGACAAATATATTGAAACATAAAAGAACTTGGTCGTGTGTGTTTGATTTAAGAGAAATGAGGAGTAAAAGTTAGTCTTTGTCAGCTGACTTAGGGAGAATAAGATAAGGATTACTACTAAAATCATTTGACATATCATACCTGTCTTGAGTGTAGAGGTCTCGATTTATCCGAACCTTGCTGGATACATGTTTGGGGATTTTCTCACAAAGATACTTCATAGAACCCCAGGGCAGTGGATTCCTGTTAAGGATATAAATAATAGACATGATCAGATGGTTTAGATTCAATATACATGAGAATATCATATTCAAATTATCAAACATGATTTTATATTAAACCAAAAACCCAGAAGTAAAAGATATATATTGAGTTTTGTTCCTGTTTAGATTCGAGTGTTCTAATTTTCATCATTTGCTTACCTCAAGGTGACTAAACAATCATTGAACTACCTAGATTGAAGAACATGCATAATTTTTTTGGTCTTAGATCTCAATTTTGGACCGCATACTTATTTCAAATAGTTACAAACATGAAACGAAACAAGTCCAGCTTGATACCCTTTTTTGCCATATGAAATCCAGCATTTCTACCCATTGTTTTCATCACCTTTGATTTTCCATGTCAAAATTTCATAACAAAAGTACTGTTATTTATTGCATCTAAAAGTCTCACGATATTACTCATATGATCAGGAAAGGAAAAACAAAGGTAAGTTCAAATGAAAAATCTAGTCGACTAGAAAGTAGCACGAGAGGAACAACCTTGTTGTGGGAGGCAGCACATTGAATGCCTCAGATGCCCTTTTGCTTTCTTTAAGAAAGTCATCAGCTGCTTTCAGAGCAGCGACGGCTGCCGTATGGGATTTCTGTGTGTTCCCTTCATCAAGGAGTACACCATGATAATAATAAGCAGCAGCCTGTTAATGTGGAAAAAGACATGTAAACATGTGGAACTCGGTTTCAAGGACTTGAGAAGGATGATGTCTGCTAGAAACCACTGTTACTTGACAGAAAGGAGAACATCGGAACTATGAATTCCTTCTGGACGCAAAGCATCAGCACACTTACAGGATAATCAATTTCTTAATGTTTATCTACAAACTAAGTACCAATACACTTAACAAGACAATTCTACTTAAATCTTTCAACTTCTTTGGATCTTGACTACATGGTTGGAAGAGTACTAGTCACCGTGATAGAGAGAGACAGAGGAAGAAAGAATATTCTAATACATAGTTTTGGGTTGTCTTGGATGTGAATCATGTTAGATCCATTTAAACCCAATATATGAGTGTTGGATGTGGGTCAGGTTAGATGCATTTAAACCATAATAGCCCTTAATCCCAATCTTTTTAGTGACTAGATTTGATGTTCTTAAGTTCAAATTGACTGAATGTCTAGATTTGTCAGCTACTTCTTTTAGCATGGTTTAGTCAACTAATTGTTCATGTTATACTTTTTTAAGCATGAACTATTCAAAACATAGATCATATTCAATCTAAAGGATTGAGTTTTTAGATGAAATGATAATGCTAAATATTTTTAAACTGCACCAAAGCTAAAGGTCTTACCTTCAAATCTTCCCCAGGCACGCATTAAAAAACAATCCCCGATTAGTTCAAGTTTTATATGTTGCTCTTAGGCCTATTTGCTCACCCACATGTGCAGGGGAATATTAACAATATACATCATATCTCATGTACAGTCTTAAGTTTTCAAATGAAATGATAGCAATCAAATATGAATCTTGTATTTGCACCTCTTTATTTCACCTGATTTTCATATTTGTGTAATGTCTGTTCTTCTCTCTAGCTTGTACCATGCACTTGGGTTCAAGTTCCACTTTCCACATGCAAGTGTGTCAAGCCTAATCTAGGAGATGTTAAACTTCATAAATACAGTAGGTTTTTCCTATCAACTTTTAAGTTCTTAGATTGTATTGGTAACCGATCTCCATGTATGGCAACCCTGACTGGTAACACTAGGAAAACTATAGTAAAAAATAATTCTAACATAGTATGAGAACCAAGTGGACAAAAGAATCAGTCAAATTTAAAAAAGAAAGAGTTAGATGACCAGTTGGTTGCAGGCCACATCAAATTAAAATTTGACTAAATGAAGATGAGTGGCGATATGAACAAGATGAAGACAATCATCCTACGCATGAACAGGAATGAGAATAAATGCTAGGAAAATATTCATGTGCGAGATTGAATTAAGAGAGAATTAAGAATATCTTAGTAATTCATATTGCTAAGGATCGAACGAGTCAAGTGATATATATCAGGTGTGGCCGATAACACAAAAATTTAAGCTTTTGTGAAAAGTGATCACCCAATTCAAAACCTTTATCATAGGATGGAAGCATGTCATGTGTTCAAATGCTATGTATTGCCCTTCTTTGTTTCATATGGTATTTAATTCATATTCATAAAATATTCATTGTTCCTTTACGTTTGCCCAATGTACTTGGGCTCTGGTTCCATATGTCTAGCCTACTCCAGATTTCATACAAGAGAGGCTATAGAAGTTCATAAATATATTGGACACTTTTCTAACAACTTAAAGGTCACATTGGAATTCATCCACCATATATGTTAGCTTGAATTCTTGTGAAAGAAAAATCCAACATGAACCTACGTGCACTGATATCGCCAAATCACATTCTCGAACTCAATTTGATTCCACTTAGTGTACTATTAATGAGTTTGGGTGGAACCACCTTGGTAGAATAGAACTTGATGGTTAACAGTTCAAACCGCAAACTCACGTGCACTTGCTCGATCAACTCAATGATTCACTATTAAAACTTGGTCCTCTGGACTTTATGTTGTGTGGTGATAAGGATGACAATCATGATCGTGATGATGGATGGTTGGGTGGGTAACAATGAGAATCTTGGATGGTGGTGAATCAAATAGTAGGTTGTTAATGGTTAAATCCAAATTTAACCTCAAAACAATTCGATGATGAATTTACCACCCAAGGCACTTCTCTAAAAAATATTTCGTACTGATGCAATATAATATATTTTGAGTATTAATTGCCCAATCGAGGACAAGAAGTACTAATTGTCATCGATAATTTGAGAAACCCTTGTTCTAATTAAACATGTTTTATCTCCATTATGCATGTTAAAAGTATGAGATCTAGGGCTATAAACATACACCAAAATTCAACATTAATCTGTTGACTATTTTATAGAAGTTCCAAATTTTATAAGGTAAGGGAACAACTAACCTTTGCTTCAACATATTTCAACTTGATAAAGAGATGGTGCTTTCCTCCCCAACCTTCAGCTAATGGATATTGTGCAATGTAATCAGTAGCCTGAAAACACAAAATGGTATTCTTCATAGTTATTAAAACTTCACATGCAAACATGACATCTGAAAGAAATGTTCAACATATTCCAATGTAAAAACCCAATAAATTCTCTTGACAAAAAATTAAATATAAGCATTAATGATCGCAAAATATCACTACCAAGAAGATATCAATTAGACATGACCATAAAATGACCAGAAAAAAGCATGTTTGTTGAATAAAGATTAATGCTGTCAGGTTAACATTTTAGTTAGAATGTAGAAAGGATAAAACATGTTTTCTTATGTTGAAAATGATGACAGGAAGTGAATATTTCAAATGAGAATGTAGAATTAGCATATAACATGTGAAAAACATTATGGCAATGCATTGATGCAACTATAAACACAAATAGCAATGTTACTAACAACGATATAATTAAAGATCATCAAAAGCAATAAACACAAACTGACCACAATAATGATAATAACAGTATTGTAGAAGTTCAAATAACATGCACTACGATCTAGCTGGAATTAATATTTCATTCAAAGAGAAGATAAAAATAACCTTGAACAGTATCATCAATCAACATCGTAATAAGCACCGATGAAATGGTTGGATATCCGATTCTGTCAAAAAGAGCTTCCTAGAAAGATTAAGCCTCTATCACTAGTACTGGTTACGAGTCTATAAGCAAAAAGGTCCACTTAGCAGATCAGAATGTCAATTCTTGAGCCAAATCCACATAAATAAGCACATGGAGTCAAATCTTTGAGAGAGATACTAGAGATACTTGACTAATCAGCACATCAATTATTGGTGTTATTTAATGGCCATCCTTCATCTTATGACTTAAAATAGGAAACAAGTGGCCATTTAGCAATTTTATTATATTTTCATGAATAATACTATGTAAGAGAAAGCTCAAGGAATAGAGACCGGAAGCCAATTTGGTTTTTAGAAAGTTGGTGTAAACATTCAATGTGCAGTTGCTGCAGCATGGTAACAAGTATAATGCTACCACTAGCGAAAATAGAAATATAGATCAACAGCCAAATAAAAAAGAGAGAGAGAACCGATGACAATTAACAGGTATTTAGTAGTTAAGGCCAAAATAAATCTACTGATGATCTGTGGGAAGAAAGATTGATTTAGCCAGCTAATAAATGATAACTCATGGTATCCACAGTTCCTTGCATGAATAAGAATGAAAAACATCTAATACTTGTAAGATATTTCACCTAAAATAGATATTACCATTCATTGTAAAAAAGTTTATTTATTGACAGAACAAAATAAAAATGACATACTGCACAAGGAACATAAACAACAGAAGTCAAACTAGAAACAAAATTAAAGAAACATAAAAACGAAAGTCAAGATGCATGAACCAAATAGCATTTAATATGCAAGTGTAAAATGACAATTTCATAAGCACATAAATAAGCAGAAAGTGATCTGTTGCCACTTGTTTCCCTATAATAAATAGCAAAAGAGTTTTCTAATGTACAAAGAGGAAAGCAAGCAGGAAGAAGCTGTAGATGACTAAAGTGTTGAATTGTAGCACAACCTGTTGCCAGCACTTAACCATCTCACATGCTAACCTCCTTTTCACAGCAAGGGTAGCCGTGACACTATCCATTGCCATCCATAGTTGAATATCAACACTCTAAACCAATCATGGGAACAGGGAAGGAGAGCAAATTAGAGTGAGAAAAATGTTTATTGCTAGCTCATGTACATAGAAGCACAATAAAGGGACACTCTCATGTTAATGCAAATTCAAAGATCATTTAAATGACAGTTCAGACACTGGTATCTGAAGATTTTAGAACACCAATATTGTGTAGATCATGGAGCTTCTATATTATGCTAATTTATTTTATAGAATTTTATCAAAACTGCAAACCAGCATAACTATATTACAAATAATAGATATAGCCTCATTATCGATACTGAAAATAGATATAACCTGTCTTAATGGTTCTATTATCAGAAATATCTACAACATTACAGTTAAGTTATCCCATTCAAAAGATGCATTACACAAGTGCTTATAGGACATAGAATAACCATATAATAAAGAACAGATATAGTTCCGATATGATACTGAGAAAAGATAAACTTGTGTCAGTGGCTCTTTATCAGCATTAGCTACAAAGTTGCAGTCAACTAATCACATATGGCAGATGCATTACTTGAGTGTTCACAGGATAATTAAAAAGGTCCAAATGGTATAATTAAGTCATTAACATCATTCGAAATATGCAGAAGTCATTAGGAAAGAACTCTTGAACTGTTTCATATCATAGTTCAAGTGACAGGAAAACAATTAACTTTGATAACATAAAGAACATTGCCAATGCAAAATATATCCTTCATTATAAGAAAAATTACTCAATTGTTTCTGAAAATTTTGGAGAACAAACTTTTAGCTTCTACATTTTTTCAGAAACATACGCTGAAAAGATACCAAAATACGAATGAACAAAAGAATTGATTATAAACATATGCTAAATCCAAAAGATGACATTAACCAAACAAAAGAATTGAACTTGAACACATACAAATAAACATTTTCCACAAGGAGATTCCAATATCATGATTATTTTGTTTTGATCTCCATATTATATTGGACCTGATGTTATTTTTACACTTAACTCTCAAGTCTATAATCAAACTTTGTACCACATTGACCATCTTCATAAGTTCATGAATTGGCAACCTGCATATTGCTCCTTGCACTATCTTCACCTAGCATCGAGCCTTTATTTTGGATGCGAGGTGACCAGGTTTGGACACTTCTATGCATTTTGTACAAACTGCTACTTCCATGTGCCATTAGCCATGTATGACCGGTACCCATTTTTGAAAAACCTATATTTTGCAATTTCTGAAGACAAGTCACTTGACAGCATGGATCAGTATTCTCATTTTAGTGACATCATTAAATTCATTTATCTTAGATGCTTATATAATAAATGATACTCCACCAATGGTCCTCTTTATTGCTCAAAACTTCAAATTCATATATCAGAATTAGTTCACTTGCATCTGCATCTAAAAACTTTCACCAACCATGCACCCACTGCAGTGCAAAGGTGAGCTACCCGGTGTTAAGTTTGACCTTACTAGATTGCATGGCAAACAGGCATCGAAAAATTAAATAATCGTACAAGAATAAAGCCAATCAACACTGGGTACTTGGTTTAATCAAAAGGTATAGCAAAATAAGCTCTAGTCAAGAAAGAGAATATAGCCAACATAGTTTAAATTAAAAGATATTTATAAAAGAAAAAAGAACTCTTTGACTATAGGATGAGCCTAAATTATCCCATAGAATCAATGTACATAACCTAAGAGAATAAGTACCTGACCCAATGCTTGAATATGAAGAGAGTGGAGCACTCCTTCAGCCAGGTCTACAGGAAGTTCCTTCCTACAAATTGCAATAATGATGAAAAAATCAAAGCATGTCAATCTCAAAGGGAAACATCTTAACCCAGGATCTTGCGTAGATAACAGTTACATGTAGCAAATTAACAAAATTAATCTCTAAGATGTGGCTAAAATATTTACTAGATCATAACCTCAGATCAGGAGGAAGTCGAGGAAGGACATGCTGAATAGCACAATCCAAATAGCCTGCTGCCTTCAAGAATTTATCAATGGAGGTCCTCCTGCTTTCTGTGAAAATATCGCTAAACTGAAGTTTCTCCAAGTGATCATAATGTTCACCTCATACATCTTGCCACACAATTTAAATTTTATATGCAGGAAGGATTTTGTGAGGTGAAATTGGCAACATCAAAGAAAGCCACAAAATAAGAATGAAGCATAATATCTAATTATATGAACTACACTAATCATATGACTTTTGTGACTAGATTTATGTTGTGGCTAACTATAACATTTAAAAACAAATGATCTCTCTGGAATCTCGAATCTGGTTAATGATTGTGACACTAACAGTAACAGGTTCGTGAAGAAAGATCTTACTGGAGCAAAAACAAGGTGATTGTTTCGTTGGATATGATGAAAGAAAATGGTACCAGAGAATATTTATGGAATATATCTCAATCAAGAAAGAATGTAATGTTTCTTCATAAAAAACAAATGACCTCTTCAACTTCTTGAAGATCTTAATGGAACAGAAGTGAGGTAATTGTCTCTGAGTTGGATATGATAACAAGACCAATACCAACGATCTGTGAAATCTTCTCAATCAAGAAAGGATGTGATCCTTCTTCACTAAAGCAGATCTGTGGAACTAATAAAAAGGATGTACAGACTTCATTAAGGATGCAAGGTGATGTGAAAAAATGTAATGATGCTCTTTTTACTTTTCAAATCCAGACCTCAATACCCACCTTCATATTCCTTAAGATGATCTCCATCGCCAGATACTTTGGGAAGAAGCAATAAGTTGGCCTCAGAGAAACATATCATAGCCATCAAGTGCAGAACTGAAAGCACCTCATACCAAGCATTTGCCATTTTTGTTTCCTGCAACAGTCACCAATAAGCTTTTCTTATTCTAAGATAAAAACAGCATAGAAGGTGGAAACAATATGTTACAGTACCTCAGCATCATCCATCTGGTTAGCCCATGCAAACTGTACTTTGTCTGTTAGTTGACTTCCTGCAAATTGTAGTTAACACAATGGTCAGAAAGTTGAAACAAATTGAATAAATCATGATTTGAGTGCAAAAATTAAGATGATAAAAATAAAAATCAAGTCTTCATAAAACAAATGAACCAAGTTACCATCTTTCGCCAATCCCAGTAGAACTGGTAAGTAGTCTTCCAGAGCCTGCAGAAGATCAGCCAAACTGGAACCTCCTGCATGCACAAAATCTATTAGGTGCTTGCCTATTCAGATTAGCCCAAACAGAGTGGAGTTCACAAAATCTCAATCTGCTGACCATGTTGTGTGGCTGTTTTTCTCCTTGGCTTTGCAACAGTTGGTGCCTCTTGGGCAGCCATAACTACTATTTTAGTTCTCAGGGCTGACAGGTGTTCGACTAAACGCTTCGGCAATCTGTCACCCAGTGACTGAACAAAGTCTACGTTTTTAGGGGCTCGCAAGCCTGGCACGAAGACCGCCACCTCTTCGACAATCCCTGGCCTTCCTTTGTTTGCAACTGCATCTTCTGGTTTTGAACCAACGCATCCCATATCCTGGAACTTTGTTCTGCCAGATGCAAATTCAATGATTGTTAATGCCTAACAATTATCAAACACGTTACTGATCTTTATCTTAATAGAAGATCGCTCACCAAGCCATCCTAGGATAACAAGGATGTGTTGTCCTTAACAATAAGGAATAAGAGAAGCTACTAAATCAAAGCTAACAGTTCCCTAATAACAGATGGGATGTAACTAAATTTTCATACTTGAAGGCGAAAGGCATCCACAAGCTAAAGCTGAAACGTGGCATAACAATCCTGAGTTCAACCAACACAGGAAGGCTGAAGTAAATGCTAACGACTAAAGCTATAGGTGACTCACGGGCATTACCTAAGAACTAGAATCCAGAAAATTCATACTTGGACCAATCCCACGAGTCCATCACATATAATTAAAGCAATCAAGCACTCTCACCTTTCTTATCCAATCAGAAGCTAAATTGAACAGCCTCTTGGTCTCCGCACTATAGAATTCGCACGTCACAAGGCAAACAAACGAGAAAGTAAGAAAAAAGGGGCGCTGAATAGCCACGGAGAAAGATTTTTCTGAAACTTAACTCATCTAGAGATCCTTAGCGATTACTCGAAGAAATCCAGATACAACCTTGAAAGCAAAGCAGGAACTCAATGCCAAAAGAAGGAGCAACCTTCATTTGATTTCCAAACCACTAACTCAATCGTGCAAATGAACATTAGACCACGAGAAATCACCGACGCAACGCATCAACCAACGCACGAAAAGAAAGAAAAATTGAGATACAACGAACGAGCAGCGAGTGACTTACCACAGATCTCAGCAAGCAGAGAGCGATTCAAGAAGCAGAGAGTGAAAGACGAAGACGTTTGGAATTGCGATCGGGGAGAGGGCATTTAAAGGTGGGTGTTGTTCGAGGGCATTGGTTTGGATCCCAACGAGCGACCGATACATCCCCTTAATGCCTCTTAATTTAAACATAATGCTTTGTTTGTGATGTGTCTTTTATTTAATGTGGATGATGGAAATGGGGATTGATTTAATATTCGTGGCTGCATGATATTAACTATATTTTTATTTAAAAGGACAATGATTTATTGGAATATAAAACGACATATAAATGCTTTATGGTTTGTTTGTTTGTAATAAATATATTAAATATTTAAAAACGTTAAAATATGAAATTATTGATAGTTTTGTTTCTAACACCCGTCGGTGTCGAGGAAACGTTTTCTCTCGCCCAAAACAGGAATCAGACAAAGAAGAGACTATGCACGTCATACAAAAAACAAAAAAACACTTTCGAGACCTACCGTCACGTGCCGCCCGCCGCCTCATCGATCACGGACCTCCACGTGGTGGCTGGGAGTGAGATCTCCAGCGGACCGACGGCGACCGTCGCTTGGCGGCTTCCTCCCTCGAGTCGATCACCAAGCAGCTCGCTGCCGCCCTTCATCTCCAGCCATCCACGTGTCATGAGAAGCAAAAAAGAAATCTCCCTCTCGCTCGTTTGAGACTTTTGAATCTGATCGTCGACTTCGTGAATCTTGAGGCTCTATGGTTTCTTTGTAATAAAAATTGTAGGGAAAAAGTCTAATATATTTACAAATTTTAATGTTTTCTTAAATGATGGGACTAATTGGTTTATGAATTTCGTTTAGTCTAAACTATTAATCAAAATATTTAAGTTAAAATTATTAATAATACATTCGTAAAACCCTTATAAGTCAATCTTAATCTTGTCCACTTTCGATATGGAACTAAAGGTGTTACAGATAGACTCTACGATATTTAAAATCGACAGAGGTAAAATAAAATTAAATATTTTATTTTTATAAATATAAAAATCCTAACGTATCTTTTCTTTTTTTAAGTAACTTATTGATTGAAACATGCCAAGCATATGCTTACTTGGAGCGCTGCATCTACATGAACCTGAAACCTACAAGGCAAAAGAACGACAACATACGGTACACAACAAAGCTAGCTATCACTCTCTTATGCTTCTGCAAACAACTGTTCGAGCTGTTCTCCAGTGGCACGGGGGCCGCTTCGAGTCCATCCATCTCTTCTTCTTCGTCAATGGTGTCCAACACACTCGCAGCCTTGTGCTTCACAACTGGGATGATCTCCGGCGGCGCCACCTCCGTCACAAACTGGACGCCATAGCCCTTCACCATCTCCGAATCAAGCAAGGAAGGGATCGAAGTCTAAGAAGCTTTTTATTGGCTCAGAAGAGAGAGAGAAAGAGAGAGAGTACCCAAAGGAAGGAGGAGGTCTTCAGGCAGCCTTTGGTGCTCTCCACTTGTCTACCTGCAACATATATTTATAAACGAGCAGGAAGAAGAGATGGCTTCACTCCTGTGGACTACATAGCGAACCACAATTCATTATCACATGATTTGCGTGTGCGTTATTACGGCCACAAGGTTTTAAGCATGTGGATCGTTTGGACGTGAGGTTAGCAATTTGGACGGTCTATAGAAAGCCACGTGTTTGTTGTGATTCGGGCATGTGTACCTTGTGTGACCTAAAGTTATTAATTTCTTTTAGCAGGAACAATTAATTGATCTAAGTTATCTATGGCAAGTGAAATGATTCTTTGTTCTAATTCCATTATAGAAAATGTTTATATGCTAAAGGATTAAAAATACAGTATATCATTTTATACTTTAATTCATATAAATTAATATAAATTATTATTAAAGTGATTAATATTGATAAATGATCATTTGTTGTTATCATAAAATGACTCATAAGGAATTGTTCATTTTAGATGGGTTAATATAGTTTTATTATTTCAAAATAAATAAAAAAAATGAGTTTGAGGGCAGAAAATGACTCTAACACTTATAAGGTCTTAGTTCTCATATTTGTTAATCGATATATTTATTGTCCGTGGAGTTGAAGCTAAGCAGATCCTTCTTCTAGTGTCAAATATATTGATATAATTTTTAATTTTCTGATTGAGATGTCGATTATTTTTGATATTTTAAATCTAAAATTATTTTAAAAATATGTTTAATAAATTTGTTTTAATAATTAAATTAGCTTTAGTTATGAGAGTTGAAAGTACGAAAGCTTAACAATTTTACCTTATAGAGAAATATGAAACTAAGAGGAATTTTATAGTGTGACTTTATGGATGTTATTTTGGAAGACAATTATTGTTGGGACAATTTCGTTCTCCTCACGATTCTTTTGAAATCATATCACATCAAATCGGGAAATACAATAGCTATGACGTATTTTATAATATTCGAAAGATAACTCTATATCGACTACATGATGTTGAAATATTAAACATGTGACATTTTAATAAGTGTGAGTCCCATGACACTAAGATATCCATCAATTATTTAATGAGCATGTATAGACTATATGATTAAGTAGATGTTAATCACATAGCTATGCGATGAATAGGTGTTGCCCATGACATCATTCCTTATCAAATATCAATTGTTATACATACATATATATATATATATATATATATATGTATATATATATATCAAAACAATGACAATGGTTATCGTTTGATCAGCAGTCTCAAAATCGAACCGGTGAAGCATTACAAAATCAATTAACTGCAATTGGTTTATGTCGAGTATCTTCAGTATAATGTTTTATCCATGTTTGTCGTCTCTAAACCTTCAATTAATGAACTTGATTTGCATTTACAAAGTCCCTTCAATTTAATTCATTACTATATTAACTTATAGTGTTGTTTAGTGAGATAATACACAATTATTATTACTATCCTCTTTACTATTTCTTCCCTTCTCCCTCTTGATCATAAATCCTTCTACCTCTTGATCATGATGTAAACATGAAACTTTTTATTTGATACATACAATACTAAATTATTGATTTATAATTATAGAAAAAAACTTATTTTATTTTTTTTTAAAATATAATAATAATAAAACAGTAAGTAAAAAAGATTTGTATTATTTTTTCGTTATAATCCGTAAGAATAATAGAATATGCAAAGAAAAGGTCAATTTTCTCCGCTTGTATTTGCTCAATACTTGTCACGTGTAATTGTCGTGTGCCGTATGGTCAAGGCCTGTGTTTAAGAAGTCGGCCAACACAAACAGGCAAATCATCCAATCACAAATAAACAGTCCAGAAGATTTAACACGTGGAATCTTTTTGTCGGTTGATATTTACTGTGTGTCTACGACGCTGACACCAGAGAACCACTCCCTCCCGAAAGGTCCCCCATATAATAAAAGTTGCATCATTCATGCACCCAATACATCCGCACACATACCTACCGGCCGATGGCAGTGGCGGATGCGTGGCGAAAGCGCTCCGCGTGCTACCATCGCGTGGGAAATCGGCGTTCACGAAAGTATTGACGGAGAAATAGCAAACATCCTCCGCCTCTTCTTCTTCTTCTGTGCTCGCAGTAAAGCACGAACAAAACGAAATTAAATATAAAGGAAGGAACTGAGGGGGACAATAGCATAAAAGAGAGAGAGAGAGCGCGCTCCGTTTCGATCGAGGAGGAGAAACCCTAATGGTGATGCCCGACGCCTGTAATGGATCGAGGCCCCCCAAACCCTGCGTCTGAGCCCGAGAGATGATCGATGAGCGGCGGCCGGGTGGTGCAGATGTCCGCCTCCTCCATGGCCCCCGCCGCGCCGCCGCAGCAGCCCCCGCCCACGCTCCCCTCCGCTGTTTCCCGATCGCCGCCGGCGCACCCCCAGTCCCATCCCCCCTCTGCCCTCTCCCTCGGCCTCCTCCCCCTCCCCCTGCCCCTCCCCCTCCTCCCCGCCCCCGTCACCCGCCACCCGGCGGGGTCCGATTCCGTCGAACACGTGGCCCCGCCGGTCGCCAAGGTGAAGCTGGCTGACATTGTGCCGTATGAGGGGGCTCCCGGCGGGGTGTATTCCAAGGCGGTGGAGGAGCTGTCGGGGTCGCTGATGAGGCACAACGCCGTGGTGATCGAGCTCGGGAGCGAGGAGGCGGTGGTTGTAAAATGTGCGCTGGAGTCGGCGAGGATGTGCTTTAAGGCGAGGGCGCAGTGCAATGGTGCCGGTAGTGGTGTCTCGGGTTGGGGGAAGTTGGGCCGCGGTGTTTATACCTATCGTGCTGGAAGGTGAGAAAATTATGCAAAATTATGAGCTTAATACTTTTTTTGCTATGCTTTCTGTTGCATAATTATAAAATTATACGCTTCATACCCTTTTTGCTTTGCTTTTTGTGGCATAATTGTTGAAAATAATGACATAATGATCGGACCAAGATTACTGAACTGAGTGGTAAATTTTATATAAAAAGATGGCGTGTTTGGTGCATCCCATTTGAGCGGACAGTAACCATAGGAAATCCCAGCTTCTTAGGTTAGAAGAGATGGTGGCTATTTATTACTTGCAAGTAATTAAATAAAATGCTGATCTCCTCACAAAATTTTATGAACTCCAGTCAGATCTAGTTGGAGTTCTCCATCATCATTTACAGTTCTCAAATCCTCAATGTATGAAATATTTCCTGCCCAATTTATGACAACACTTCTGCTCTTAGGTGAGATCTTTACAATATCTCATCGACCAATTTAATTGAAGAGTAATCTGAACAAACTATTTGCTTTAATTCTAAAGGAGCAAGAGATCCTGGTCATCATGTTGACAATGATGGAAGCTGTTGCAGTAGTTCATTGATTGAACTGTTGTGTACCCATTATGTTATTGTGTCAAGTGTACCACCATTAAGTTGCAAATTATATTTCTAAGATACATAAGTTGGACTACGCGTGTTGCATAGTAAAGGCAAATGATGAATGAATTGCCTAGAAGGAGCTTACTAAAGGTGATAGTATTTTCTCGAGGCTCTGGATAGCTGGACTTGGTATATTCCTTCACTTTTGCTCTCATCGTCATCTTTTTTGTTGTGGTCTTTCATTGATTCTTCTGCAAATGGCCTTTCCAATTGTACTCCTTTGTTTTGCTGGTGTTGGGCAATGTGTTTGTTCTATATCTGTTGAGATCTAAACGCAGGGACATTAGAGCTTGCCCTTTCATAATTCAATGATGTTGTTAGGTTCTTCTGAGGGCATTTTGATTGCTATTGTAATAATAGAAAATATGACAATCAAAAATTTCAAGAAATGCTAGCAAGTACTAATCGACATTAAACATAGGGCTAGACTAAGAGGAAAGGGGGATCAGTAACAGTGCTTCTTGGGTCATAAAAGGATCTATTGCTTCCCAGTATCAACCACCAAAATGTCTTATACTGCATATTCTTAAACTATAACATGGTTCTAGCTCCAGAGTGATTGGCAACTTGTAGTTTTGTTCCAACACCTGGTTGTTTTATTAAGTCATAGTTTACTGTGAATCCTATTAGGGCTTTGGAAGATGGAGATCTGTCTCCTGCATGCATGGGAGATGCCTTCAGATGTATGGGAAAGGCAGCTCGTGCTTCACTTTGTGCAATAGCAAGGCATCTTCGGCTTCGAAGCGAGTAAAAATAGTTTTTGTTGGTATTGCATTTAGTTAACTCCAAAATGGCTCCAGGGCACTGTATCTGTTTCTATGTTGTTTTCTGGTAACAAGTGCTATAACTTCTGGCAGTGTTTTTAACCATCTGCTGGATGATACCCCATTGCCTGCTAACGAGGTCTCATCATCAGTTCTGATTGCTGCCTGTTCTCATGCCTCACATACTAATAATAGCAAGGGCCAAATTGGAGGAAAATCTTCCATTACTGAAGTTGAAAAGGGACTATTGACATTAATTGCCTCTGACAGTCCTGGGATTCAGGTATTTAATTGTTTCATTTCAATGAATAGCAGCTATTTACATTGGTTCTGGAGGTTTTGGATTAAGCTTTATTTCTTGTAGTTGGCTATTCAAAGTTTCCTCTCTAGAAAATGATTAATATTCACATTTATATGATGTCATGTATTGCATCTTTTATAGGTGTGCGATCCAAATGGTCATTGGTTCCTAGCGGATGGGGGTTCAGGTCCTGGAGATCTATTGCTACTAACAGGCAGGGCTCTAAGTCATGCCACTGCTGGTCTCCGTCCAGCTGCCTCATATAGAATGATCGTTGAGTGTTTTCCTGGTACAGTGACTAGAGGAAGGTCTGAGATTCCTTTATGTCTCTGCCTCTGTCTTATTCTAATTATTATTTTTTAATTAAGGCCCCTATTTATCTTAATGGCATCACTCTGGTTGTAGGGTATCACTGACATTTAAGCTCATGCCTCAAAGTAATGCTATATTGGATTGCTCACCAATTGCAGTGGCTGGGCATGTTGCACCCCAGAGTTACCAACCAATTTCGGTAAGCCAGTTTATGGATGACTTGTCTGCTGAAGAAGATGCCATGTGCAATCATCCTGACAATATTTATGTGAGTTAACAATTTTTGTATCACTTGCATGTGCTTATCACCCTTTTCAGTTGTTTCACTTTATCTATGATTGATGTGAGTAGTAATGTCTACCTCTAGATATGAAATGTCACTTTATTCTTCATATTCTAATGGGACTTTGGAAGTCTGATATTAGTATGAACACACTTTCCAAGGTTAAACCAACCCAGTAAAATCAATTCAGATAATTTTGCCATCTGATAGATCTTAACTGTTAATCTAACAGATAGCACCCCAACTCCACCCTTTATAAAATTTTTATCTGAAAGTATAGTAGTATACATAGAATAAAGGGAACAAAAACAGAGAAAACAGAAGATATAAAAAGAAAAAAAGGGATTATTTGCAATAAAGAGTTAAACAACCAAAAGTAAGCTTTATTTCACTCAATAATCAGATGCAACTCAGTGTTGGTTCCCCTTGCATTTGATCTCCTTTCCTTTTAAAGGGACTTAATTTTCTAATTGGGAACTCAGAGTAAAGGGAAGTAACAGCGGAAGACTTTCGTATTTGAAAACCATAGTCCTAGAAATTCCAAGATATTATGAGGAGACATTTTACTTTCTTTAAATAAAAAATGCAGTGGACAATGAAACAAGGATTTTCTGTTCCATTTTTATTTCTCCGTGTTAGATCTTATGATACCTGGATTGGGCTTATCTCAATTGACATCATTGTTTCATTATTTTGTTTTCATTTTCCTTTGTTTTTTAAGCATGGGATGGATTCATTTCTCAAACCGTATTACTAATGCTCCATTTCTAATAAATTTGATCTACAAATCATTGTTCATCAGGGCAATTACTGGAGCACTGAATAGCATTGAAAGCGTAAACTTTCTCAACAAATCTTGACCCAAATAGATGGTTTGGGATTCAACCTATTGAAAACCCCATGATTCTTGCCCCTTGATAGTTGGGCTTCTTATTGCTAGTCTTGCAATGCTGGATCGTCATTTCCTTGCAATGCTGGATTGTCATTTCCTCCCATTCAGTTGTCTATTCCTCCTCAATCCCGGTTTTGCTTACCCAAGTGGGTAATTGATCCTGTTCCTCAACTCTTTTCTTCTCTTGGTGTTTTTCCTCCATTCTTATTTGTGGCATGTCTGCATTGGCATGTGACATTATATGCTCTTCCAAGACTAAATCCTTGGTTAAGTTATTTATCAAACAAAAGGAAATCTATTTGAACCAAATTATTTGATGTCTAAAGAAGGGCTGATCCAAAACTTGAACGTTCATAATTGATTTTTTATTTAGTTATGGAATTTGCAAATTCAATTGATAAGACCATTTAATCCCATTGGTCGAGGAGTATGGGAATCAAGAGCTTATAAGTTCGTCGGGTCTCCCTTACTTTCAGAGGCGTCTTTTGGAACTCACATGCTCCGAAAGGACAAAATCGTGCGGGTACGCTCATCGTCCAAAGTGAATAATTCCTCGCGAGCCTACGGGCCGCACAAATGGTCGGCTGACCAAATGATCCCTTATCAGATTGGCGCTAGAAGAAGGGTCCGAGGCCTGCACCTCGGTCGAGCAAACCCACTCCTAAGCCGTGGGTAAGAATTAATTTAATATAAACACAAAATGGAAAAAAAAGGATTAAAGGAATATAGCGAACATACTTTAAAGCATTGACTATTGTATTGCTTGAAATAGTATGAAATGGGTGATACCTATCGGTCTGGACGTGGATTGGTACATAGACCGAAAGTAACGGTCTAGTTCAATCGAGGGAAAAGAACGAAAAAAACCTAAATCAATGTTAGGCTTATAAAAAAACTAAAATAACAATTAGGGCTTGCGATTGTGAGCCCTCTTCTCGTGACGCCATTGTCGTTGTTGTTCGATGTCGTCATCGTTGCTGACATTCACTACCGTGTATCTGCTTGATATACTCTCACCTCTTCTCCCTTCTTCCTTCTTCTCCTCCTCCACCGCTTCCTCTTCTTCCTTCTTTTTCTCATTGCCTCCCCTTCTTCCTTCCTATTCCTTCTTCTTCCTCCTCTTCCTTCACCACCCCTTCCTCCTCTTCCGCCACCACTGCTACTGTTTTATGTTATCACCGTTGACATTCACCAACATGTATCTCCCTAGTACACTCTCTCTTCTTCCATCTCCTCCATTGCTTCATCTTCTTTCTTCTTCTTCCTCCTTCTCCATAGCTTTCTCTTCTTCTTACTCTTCCTCCATCGCCTCCCCTTTTTTCCTCTTCCTCCACTGCCCCTTCCTCTTCTTCTTTTTCTTCCTCTCCGAAACACCGATACGTACCGATGTACCAAAACATGGTACATCAGTACGGATAGTATGTTCTAGTCCGACTAAATCGCTGAAATGGATCGGGTACCCTAAATGATGATCCTTGCTATAGAGACAATAGAACATGTGCTTATGTGATTATATCCCACAAATGGTCACATAAACAATATACATATATGTTTCAACATATACCAGAATCAAAGCATTAAAATTCCATATGGAGTTGTTGAAATGTGATGTGAGGCTACCACCTAAACTTACACTATGGTATAGTAATGATCTTGTGAATTGTGACACCTTGATTGGATCCACTTTGGAAGTTCTTGGTTAATTATGGGGTAGACGAGCGTTGGATTATATTACAGTGGGAAGCCACCAATGGATTAAGCATCATATGGCCTTGTCAAGAAATGATTCAAAGTTTTGTATTGTTCTTTAGGCTTTGACAAGGGCTTCAAGCCATGACGATGATCATTCCTGCATAAGAAGTGGGATGATGATGATGATAATGATATAGAGAGCTATATAGGCCTACCACCATTGGATGAGCTCAAACATTTTGGATTACATGGTTCTAAACTTATTAAATTGCTGTGTCAATTTTCTTCTTGGACTGAGTTGTGGCAGATTACTTTTGCCTACAATTATATATTATATAAACATTAACATAGGGATATTACTGGTTTTGTACTTGACAAATAGGCCAATAAGTAGATTCTAGGTAAAAGGTATCTTAGCTTTTTAATTATCAGTGCTTCATCTAATCATAGCACATCATACAATGTTATGTTGACAAAAAAGATTAATAAAATTTAAAGAAAATTTGGTAATTTTAAGAAAGGATGTGAAAGGAAAAGTAAATGATATGATTATCTGTAAGGTAAAAGGTGAGGAAGAGTCAAAGTGGTACATGAAGAAATAAATTAAGACATTTTAGAGAGAGATCCTAGAGAACAGCCTTGTTACTAATTTTTCATAACAACATATAGGATTTTATTTTTTTAATCTATAGCTCTTCAGCTACTATTGACATGATTGCGTCAGATCTTTTTCTGGACTTCTATTCTTATTTCTTAATTTTGTCACCTTTTAATCTCTTAATAACTATTATTAAAGACTGTCATACTTATGATCTTGTCTTTTGTTTCTCGGGGACGTATTTACATTATTTGAAATGCATTTACATAATCAACAAAGTTAACTTACATGTATGCCGTATTGATGTCGAAACTTATCTTTTTTCCCTTTTTATAGTAACTTGATTTTTTTTTCTTCCAATTTGCTGTGTTAGAATGTTGCATACCGATTCTTAGATTGTATTAGTTTGCTACATTTCATGTGGTGCTGTGCAGTAATTACTTTTGTATTTTAAGCTGCATTTGTAGATGCCAATGACCATGATATTGCAGGAAACTCAGAATGATCCTATGAAGGAACCATCACTGAGAAGCATACTTTCGGACCCTTTGTCGTAAGTCTTCAGTCTCCATGTGTACTTTTATATACTAGTAGTGCTTTTAGATGTTTGAGCTTAATTTGTTTTTTAACTGGTTTTATTTGATAATAATTGTTGACTCATTATACTCTTCTTTGTTTGGTGATGGGTCTAATATTGTAACTTGACATCTTAGTATTTTGGTTTAGATCTCATGTAAGTTAGTTTGTCATTTTGACTTTGAGCATGTTCTGTTCAGAAGTATTTTTTCTTCAATAAGGAAACAATCTAATAACCATTGGGCAGGTATTAGTGAAATGCAAATGTTCTTTTATTGATGTTCTTAATAAAGTTGTTATAAGCATTAACTTCAATATTATAACGGTCTTGATAAATATGATATCATGATCAGCTCATAGTTATTGGTTATTACAAGTACCCTATATAGCATCTAACATAAGTCATCTTCTTCGAGAACTATCTTTATCCAATATACATAACTGTGCATCATGATCTACTAGGCACTAGGGTGTTCAAATCAAACCAAAACATCGAATTGAACCGGATGCAAACCTAAATCAAACCGGTCCAAAACTGGTTCAGTCTAAACCAGTTCACCAATAGTTCATGATTCTATTTTGGGATACTTTTCTTTTGTTAGGTTAATCGGTTCGAACCGAATTGAATTGATTTTAATTTAAAAGTTATCATTCTAGTTGAGTTTACTGTCTTAAGCCCTTAACTAGTTTAAACTAATTAATTAAATCAGTCTAAAGGTCCAATTTTATAAATGACGTGAGCTCAATTTCATAAATCTTGTCATGTTAGTCTAATTGGACCAAGATTTTGGTTTGGTTTGGTTTAATTGAACTAAATTGGTTCATTTGAAAAATATATATTATAAATTATTTAAAATTACAAACCAGTTAATCGGTTAACCGAACCAGATTAACCAAATTTGAATCAGTTTAGTTAGGTAGGTCCAAATCGGATCGAGTTCAGACTACCTTATATTAATCAAATTGAACCCAAAAATTGTTTTGGTCTAGTTCGACCCTTAACTGTTCAGTTTGGACTGGTTTGAACACCCCCACTAGGCACTTAGTGAGGAAATTCCAGGGCACCTTGAGGTGCTCTGAACAAGATGCCTTCATTTGGGTGCCTCATTGTGAGCACCTTAGTTGAGGCGCCGGGCATTCCACGTGCCCACCTGAGCTGGCTTGAGTGACCCAAAACCCGCATGCCAGTCCAAACTCAATCCTCCCTTCCCTTGATTCATTCTAAAACCAATTCCCACTGGGACCCTTTCCAAGCTCAATTTCCGTCCCCCTCCCCCAAATTCTTATCTGTTCCAACCTAATCCAAACCAAACACTATCCCACTTGGCCCTCAATCCAAATATAATGCCTCAACCCATCCTTCATATGATGTAATTATCTCCTTTTACACCTACGGTCTACATAGCATTTTTCCATTGACTTTTCAGCAATGCTATATTTTTGCCATCATCTATGCCTTCAACTCCATCCGGTACATCTCCTTTCCTTTCCTCTTCTCTTCCCTCTTTCCTCACTCTAGGTCATCAATTTCTAGATAATATTGGGCTTTTTATACTTCTTTGAGTACCCACCAAAAGTTCATAAACAATGTTTTAAATTTTAAAATCACTGAATTCAATGTTATGATTGGAACTATGTTTTGTACTCATGAGTAAACTAGATTTTCCCCTCTTAAGGTGCTCTGTTGCTGCATCCTCTGTTCTCTATCTTTGCTCCTTTTAGATCCTTTCATGGCTAGAAAAAAGAAGGTTGAGGTTATGGTTTGAAGAACTTTTAACAACTCACCGTGGTCGCTTGGGCTCGAGCTGTTAGGAATTGTGAGGAAACTTGAAATTTCTCTCTCCATATATATTAAGTTTTTTAGTTTCATCTTTAGCTCAATTAAATGACATGGTTTAGATGATAATATATACTCATTAATGGTCTATACCAATCATATACGTATTATATATCACTAATATAAGTGTAACTACTTATTTATATCATCTTTTGTTTTAATTTTCATCTTGTTTGTAATAATATTTTATTTATAGTTATTACACATAGTTTGAAAAAAATAGTTATTTTGTCATGGTACATGCTAAAGTCTAAAGGTTTTAATTTCATCCCGTCGACATCTTTGGTGGAATCAAATGATATCTTATGTGTTGTGTTATGGGTTTATCACTTAGGGTATATTTCTTAAAGAATAATAACATAACCTTTGCACCCATTGTGTAGATAAAAATCATTTAATTTAGAGAGCAAAATAATATTTTTTATAGGGTTTAAGTAAAATGATTGCATGATGAATTCTTAAAGAATAAGCCATAATTTCTTTTGTTTTCTCTAATGGGTCTTGTTTATTAATGTAAAATTATCAATTCAGAGGGACAAATAAATTCGACTTAGATCAAATTTTATGATAATTTAAAATAATAATGAAGTATCATTGTAAAAAATACCATAGTTGGACAAATATTGGACAAAATATCAGTGGTTTAAATAGGTGCTCGGGCGCATGCCTAGGCACTTAGCTGAGGCGAGGCAAGACCTGAGTGCCTTAAAGATTAACTAGGCGACGCGCTTTAGTGAAGCGTCGCCTGACCGCTCGCCTGAACCAAGGCACTAAGCTCCTCGTGTGAGCGCTCGGTTGAAACAAAGCAATCAAACTACTTCGATTGAATAATAGCTAGTTAGTTCGATTGAACCAAGTTATATAATGTTACTATATTTGCACAAAACCCATCCCTTTGCCCCTTGCGCTACCCCGAGCTATAAACCCTAGTGCAGCTGTTGCTTCCACCACAAACACTTCCTCTACCGCTGCCTCCTCTGTCGACGTATAGGACCGACGCTTCCTCTACTGTCGATGGACTGGTTCGAAGGCCTAGCTTTCGTACGTAGTTCCCTCCGTTGTCGTTGCTTCCATATGTAGCTCCTTTTGTTGTCAAGGGAGAGGACTGCAACTTCCTTGACCATCGATGGACACATCCGAAGCTTCCATCGTCATCATTGTTGCTATTGCCATTCGAAGCTTTCTCTGTTGCTGCTATCATTGTCCATAGCTTCCTCTACCATTGCTACTGTCGTCCGAAGCTTCCTCCATCGCTGCTGTCGTACAAAGCTTCCTTTGTTGCTGCTATTGTTGTCCGCAGCTTCTTTCGCCGCCGCCGTCATTGTCGCCATTATCCGCAAGTTCCTCCATCACCACTGTCCTCTCCTTCCCCACTTTCCATCGTCGATGATTCTTTTCTCCCCTCTAACTACTATTAACAATAGATTATTAACTACTATTATCATATAATAGTCCTTATTTTGATTTTAGCACTACTAATCTCTATTTATTTAGAACTATTATTAGGGTTTCTGGATTAATGGCAAGTGTATAAAGCAATTTATAAGATTCATCCAAAAAATTCAAGAAAGGATCTTGTTTGGAAATATAATTATCTAAAGGATCTTAAAGATCCTAATGCAGTTATTTGTATCTTTTGTAATAAGACCACTAGAGGTGGTATTTTTTGTGCAAAGCAACATCAAGTAGGGAACTTTAAGAATGCATCAGCATGCAAGAAGTGTCTGCTTGGTGTAAAAGCAGAGTTGCTGGCTTATATGACCGAAAAAAAAAAGTTGCAAAGGAATGGATCTTATGGGATTTTACTTGGGGATAATATTGAACATATTAGAGGTGATAAAGAAGAAGATTATTCAGAAAGTGTAAATGCAAGTGGAAAAAGAGTATATGACAAAAAAAAAACTATGATTGTTTAGAAGAATAAAATGGGATCGATGGACTTATATATGTATCAAGGATCACAGAAGGAACAAAGTTAAGCAAAAGTAAAATTAAGACAAATAAATATAAGTGATATTTATGATAAAGAAAAGGGGAAGAACGATTCAACATATTGCTCTTTTCTTTTATCAGGTTAGACTTCCCCATAGTGCTTGTCGTTTGGATAGTTTTAAAGAGATGATTGAAGTTATTGAAAGATATGGTGGGAGATTAAAACTTTCAAATTATTATGAATTGCGAGTTCTATTACTGAAAAAAGAGTTGGATCATATAAATGACTTATTAAAGGGTCACAAAGAATCATGGGTAAAGCATGGTTCTTCCATTATGTCATATGCTTGGACCAACAAAAAACATAGGAGTATAATTAATTTTATGGTTAACTGTTTTTTAGGAATCATGTTTGTGAAATAAATAGATGTATCATCTTTTATAAAATCTAGAGAAAAGATATACGAGTAACTTGACAAGTTTGTGGAAGAAATTGATGAACAAAATATCGTCCAAGTTATAACCGACAATGGAAGCAACTATGTGTTAGCTGGTAAGATTTGTCTTTTAAATTTTTAAATTTTTTAGTTACTTTATGTCTCAAATTTGAATGAAAGAACTCTCAAGTCTTATGAATTTTGTTTTCCTTTGTCTTATGTAAATTACTTGAAGTAAAAAGACAACATCTATATTAGACTCCATTTGTGGCAAATTGCATTGAGTTAATATATAAGGATATTGGAAAGATCCATGATATCAAGAAGATTTTAGAAAGGGCAATTATTGTCATTAGATTTCTCTATAATCATACTGGGGCTTTGAATATAATGAGAGAATTCACAAACAATAAAGAATTTGTGAGATATAGTGTCACCCGATTACTACTTCCTTCTTGACATTGCAGGACGTGCATCGTCAAAAATATAACCTGAGAGACATGTTTACCTCGAGGTAATGAGTGACAAGCAAATGAGCAAAAGGAGTGAAAGGCAAGAGGGTCGGTGATATCATCTTATTGTCGTCATTTTGAAATCTTATAGTTTATACATTAAAGATAATGATCCCTTTTGTTTAAGTCCTTCGGTTGGTAAATAATGAAAAGAAGCCTACAATGAGATATATTTATGAGGCTATGGATAGAGCAAAAGAGATGTTTCAAAAGTCGTTTGATGAAAATGAAGAAATATATAAGAAAATATTTATAATCATTGACGAAAGATAGAATTATCAACTTCATCGTCCATTACATGCGGTAGGACATTATTTGAACCTATAATTTTTTTATAAGAACACCTCCATTGAGTTCTATACAAAAGTTGTAAATGAATTATATAAGTGCATTGCAAGATTGGTTCTAAACCTTGAGGTGCAAGACAAGATCATACGTGAATTATTTTTATATAAAAATGTCGATGGTCTTTTTGAAATTCCTTAGCAGTTTGATCTAGGACAATTATATCCTTAGGTATTTATAAATTTATATAATTATTTTTATATATAGTAAATTATTGTTAGTAATAAAGTAAATTTTGTATTTGAATGGTGTAGTCTATTTGAAAATTCCACCCCGAACTTGTAGTAATTGGTTATCAAAATTCCTACTTTGACTTATAATGTTAAAAGTTGTGAGTGAAACTAGAGTATCTTTGAGCATGTATAGATCACAGAATATTTTTGTTTCAGTTAATCTATTCTTTTTTAGATAAATGTATTCATATGTTTTTAAATGGTATGATATGATAGATTCAGACAAAGGGAAGAGAAAGATGATGATATGTTTGAGAATGACGATGTTGATTGAATTTGATATAAAGCTTTATCGCTTTAAGTCTTTTTACATTCTTGTTATTAGAAAATGGATAATGTGACTTAGTACCTTATATATCTTCAATTTAATATCATATTTTTATTTATATAATCATATTTATCAATTGTGTTATATATATATTTTTATATTTCAATATTTCAGAGCGTCTCGCTTCGTTCGAGCAAGTACCTCGAGCATTTTGGACCTTGGCGCATAACGCTTTTTAAATCACTGCAAAATAGTCTTAATTAAGTTCCAGGCATTCATGTTGAAGAGTGCCAATTTCTCATTATAAGTATCGATTGTGGAATTAGACCGGACCCCACGTATTGGATCACAAATTTACTATCCAAGTTACATCTCTTATAGGATGATAGTTCGTAATGTTTGCAAAGATAATGTTGGTGAAAATCATTCATTTAGAAAAATAATTTTATTTTTAACTCTCTTAATTCTATATCATTGATTTGTGCAACTTTCTAGTGCCAATGTGTATATATTTCTTTACCTTTAAGAGTGTTTATAATGAGCAGAAGCAGCCCATCATTTATGTTCTTCAGCAATTCAAGGTTAAATCTCATGTATTATTGCTAAAGAATATACATGATAAGCTGCTATATATCTTAAAAGGGAGCAACATGTTATTGATTGGGCAAACCAAATGTTGTGCTTGAGTGGTACACATCTATATCTAGAGATATTACTTTGATTTAAACTTTCTTAACATACCAGCTATACATGAATGCTTTTAATTCTTGATGTAGCCCACATTTACCCTTTTGTGGGAAAACTAGGTAAAGTTAACTTTCTTGCTCAATTATCATGAACATTAGGCAATGGATTACTACGAAATTTACTCTATTTTCTTCATATATTTCCCAAAGTTAGTTATAGCATGGATACTAAAGATGAAACTTTTGTCTTGCTGTATTTTTAAGTGGAAATTGTTATCTTTATTTAATTTTACGTTGTGTAATTCCAGTAAGCTCTCAAACTCATGTTTTACATGTTTGCTGTTTCAGTGGGGCATTCCTTGAGGATGCTATGGTTGTCTCTTGTGGGCATTCTTTTGGTGGCCATATGCTGAAGAAAGTTATAGAAATGGTATATGTAAATTCTCATCCACTCTATTCTTTAAGAGCTGTTATACTGTATCCAAGACCAAATAAAGTCACTGGTTTTTGTTTTTGTTGTGCATATAATGTAGGAAGGGTTAATTAGAAAGAGCTTGTAGGAGCAATAATATATAGTGTTGAACTTGACCTTTTAGATTATAAAACAGTTTAAAAAATTGAAGTTCAAAATAGAATGGAGCTTGTATTGCCTCAGCCAAATGCTAGTAATATCATTAATTCTAGTTCAAAATGACTTTAAATTAGCAGTTGATCTTGACTTCATTGTGAGTAATGCATTTGTATGAAGTATGTTCTTTGGGATCTGGAAATGAATATTGAAGTCTTATAGAAAGGGCATTGGTTCTAGAGTCTAAAGCATACTCTCTCCAAATGCATTGTCACAATAAGGATCTAGTGAACTTGGTCAATCTGACCTAAATTTATACTGTTTAACTGTGGGTACTTTTAAAATTGAGGAAAATACAGGTCTTCTTTGTTTGTTGGTTTATTCAGTTGTTTATATCATATGGTTCTTTCAGTTATTGTTCATATTTTCTGGACTAACGATGATTATGACCGATGCCTGTTTTTGTTTGTTCATTTTGGTTATAAAATCAGGCCAGATGTAATATATGTAATGAAGAGATAGAGACAGGGATGTTGATCCCAAACTATGGTAAATAGAAATCATAAATAAATTTTGAGTAAGTTATATCTGTATTATGATTGTGGTCCAAGGAAAAGTTCTGTAGTGATCTTCTTTCCTTTCAGCTGTGCGAGCTGCAGCTACCACAGTGAAGATGGAGGATGATAAGCGACTCTTTCATAATGCTGCTCTACGCAAACGTAGGAAAGAAGTTGGTGAACAAATGGAGGCACTGAAGAGATTGGCCAAAGTGTGTGGTCTTACAGATACTGCATTTTCTTTTCTGGTTTAGAAAGTGTTTAAAAATCTTTCCTGTTTTATTTGTATTGTCTTATATACAGGTAAATGGGGAGATAGCAGCCGAGAGTGACGGCCCTAGACAACTAAAGGGAGTTCAATATCCATTTGTAGTAAATGAGAAAGTTTTGATCAAAGTATGATCTCGAGCACAAACTTAACTGTAGGCCTTTCCTTTTTTATAAGCAATAATAAGTTGGTAAGAATACAAAGGAAAGAAAATTGACAATAGAAAACATGCAGGGAAACAAGCGGACTGCTGATAAATTGGTTGGAAAGGAAGCAATAATAACATCCCAATGCTTGAATGGCTGGTATGTTCATAAGAGTAATGGCTTTTGATCTTTTCAAATACGTCAATAGATATACATGGTTGATTGTTGTAACATAATGTAATTAAAAACTGACCTTTTGCTTTTGGAGAACCTAAGCAGAAGCTTTGTTTGCCCACTATAGTGGGTAGATTATCTCATTGTTGCAGTTTGGATGTGTGAATTAGGTCTGAAAAAATCTTTTAATTCAATAATGTGACTAATATCTCATTCCCAGGTACTTACTCAAGATTCTGGATAGTGGTGAAAGTGTTCGTCTGCAATACCGCTCTCTTCAGAAACTCCCAAGCTCACAAGCAGATGACAGGATACAACCACAACCCTTGCTTATAAGTAGCAATTGAGTAGATGGTGCTATGGTTGCTACTTGGCTACAAGAGTCTTTTGTGATACAAATTCTGCTTGTTTTGTAATTTTTGGACAGTATTTTTTGCCAGGTTTTTAATGGACATTAACTTATGAAGAAGTTTTACGATAGGAAATGAGAATGCCAAGACACAGAGCAGTGCCTCAACATATAGAAAGAGAACAAACAAAAGGTGCTCATGAAACAGTGGACTTTGTATCTTGAGCGAATGATGTTCAATTTTACCATCTTGGTTTTGTCTCCTGCTACTGCAGGTAATAGATGTCACACAAAAAATGAGCCTTAGCATTCTCCACTTGTACAGCATCCAACTAGTTAAGCAACGACGATAATAGGGATGAGAAAGTTTGACTTGTGAAATTATCCAACTAAGTTATTCAACCCGCCTTTTTTTGGACATTTTGGTTTGTTGTCATTGTTTGTTATCTTTTGACCCAAGGATAGTGTGGCATATTCTGTGGATCTGGATCTTCTCATGCTGTAAGTCATCTTTGTGCGTCAGTGTAGAAGTTATCATTACTGTATGATTGTGTCATTCCTTAGTCTGATGCATTGGTTTGATCATATAATCCATTAGTTAGGGATTTCAAAAATCCAACTTGGATTTATTTTCACAGATTGAATAGCTTTATCTTCGTGTACTTGTTGATGATGTTAATGGATTACAAGATACAGTTGCAGATTCAACTATGCAACGTGGATTCCTTTTTCGGTTTCTAGGGAATGTTTCGGGTCATAATGATGTATAGGTTGTTGGCTCATGTAATATTGAAATTCACAGGTAGATTTCCGCTCAATATTTTCACTGTTTCTCTGTCATTTTTTACCTTTATCTTCTTATTTAGAGAAAAGAACATTGCTGTTTTCATATTTTTTTGCCGAGAGTTTTACTCTTTCTCGAATGTAGTAGTAGATCATCGAGTTTATGCTACCTCCTAAATAGTGATTCAAGTTTTGGTATACCAAAATAGATCTTCTTTTCCATACTTTTCCAGTTACTTTCAGTTTCTCCCTTTCTTTTACTGACTATTTATTTTTTCTTGTTTTGTTCTGCACATGGACTTGTAGTTATGCTAAAATTTCTTTCTAAGTTCCTCCACACAAGGAATCTAACCTTTTTTCTCTGTAAAGCAACCAAACTATTGGTTGTGCCAACATCTGGTAAAATAGTTTAGATTCTTGAGTAGATTGAATCCAATTGAATTTGGACTAAGATTTTATATTTTCTATGTTAACATTTGGTAAATTAGTTTAGATGAAGATGTCCAGATCAATATTTGGGGTTACTACGAACGAAAGATAGAATTATAAGCAATAAAGAGTTTCAACAAGCACAGAATAATGGGTGGAAGCATGCGCTGTCCCATACTTGGTGGTAATCCAGTTCAACAACCTCAGAATAATTGAGTGGGCTGGTATAGTCATCAATGGCTGCTTCGGCTTCCCATTGGATTAAGGCCAACGAGAAGGGAATGGGTGAGAAGCATTGCAGGAACAAAGGATACGTGCTGGTGAATAGTCGACTGTATGCAGACGCTGATGGCATCCTAATCTCAAAGGAGAGCAACTCACTCCAACAGATTGTTCTTAACATCCTGCATTTCTGAACCGTATGGTGCATTTGTGTTTGACTTTTTTTTGCTTTCTAATGTGTATTCGATGTGTATTCCTCATTAGGTAGCAACAATTCAAGATCTCGTACGAGATACATATACCATGATAAACAATAAACTGATGTTTGGCTGTGTATTTACTATGTTCATGAAATTTGTAGAAATATGAAATGGAAATGTTGTTTCCTTTTGAGTGTGATTTGATGTCTCTGAATACAAGATTTGCTGTTGCAACTGCGGTTTTTGATGTCAAAATCTTGTCGACAGAGAGAAGGTTATGCTTGGTGTAGTAAAAAGAAAAATGCAGGAACGCACATTGGTCATGAAAATATAAGCTCATAATATTTATCATATGATAAATTTAGTGTTCTTATGGAAGCATTACTGGTTTTAGTTAGTGTCATATGAATCCTCTTCATGACTATCCAACAAAAGACCATCCAGAAGTCAATACCCCCCCCCCACCCAAATTATTTGATGTGCATGAGTTGAAGTAGAAAAGGCAGCAACAATGTTTGCTGATGGATGAATCTGAAAGGAGAATGAGCAATGAAATCCATGGAGACAACCATGAGAGCATCCTCGGTCGGGGGATTTAGTGAGGTGACAGTGCTCTCAGAGTTAGGTGGAAATGTGCCGCGATATCTGAACTCGACCAACTCAACTTTTGGCAGAAAGAACACATTCCTGTCTCACTCGCTACAGTATCAAGAAAGAGGAGAAAGAGAAGTCTTCTCTCTTCAGAGTTCTTGTGTGCAGAATGTATCCGTGTTGTGCTTGTAAGTAGTGGAGATCCCAATCTCATCTTCTTGTTGATTTAAGGGGACTTTCTTCGACAAAAATGTTGGGGCTTAATTCTTTGTTAATTTCTCTTATTAGGAAAGTCATCATTGTTTCTATGAAAAGGATCACAAACTTAGTTCTTGTGTTGACATGGTTTTATCATTTGAGGATTTCTTTCTCCCTAAAATGTCACCTCACTCGAGCGTCTGACAGATTGGCCAGCAGGACACAGACGAATCGTAGGAAATCTGAATCATACAGTCGATCTTTAGGTGGTGGAGCGCTATGCAATAGAGTGGTAGTGAAGACACGGGAGTACGTGCGTGAGTCAACTTGTGGCCAAACTGGGAGAGGAAGCTGTTGTCGTCACTGTCCCTTCCGTGGCTGTCGAATTAGTCAGTCCTCTCCTGTTGTCCTCCACGTTGAATTGAAAAAATAATAATAATAAATTGATTTTATTCCTGAGGACGGAGATGAATATTTATACAAAATTTGAATTTTTTTTTCAAGGATCGTAATCAAATTAATTTTTTAAATAAATGATTGATATTCAAATATTGAGGATATAAGAAAATAGAGACGTTATTTCATACGCATGAGTCTTTATTATGATCTTCTATCATGTCTTCGTAAATTTCTGTCAAAGAATGTCAAGTTTGATGTAATTGAAATGTTTTACGGGCAAGAGATTTTTTGAAAGAATCTATTAGTTGATCAGAAGTATGTATATAAGAAATACGTAGTTGATATCTAACAACTTAATATCTGTCGAAGTGAAAGTCGATAATAATATATTTCATATGTGAGTGGAATACTAGATTGACACATAGGTATGTATAACCAATATTATCATAGTATATTATAAAAGTAGAATTAAAGTAATATTCTATTAGTAGATTGATGATCCAATTGAGTTTTGTAGCGACGGTGATAATGACTTAATATTCAACTGATTCAATTTGCTTCGAAGAAAATAATATAAATTAATGATTAGACCAATCTAGCTGTAGTAATGAGCTTAATTTCTCATGGCTTGAGATGCTTTTGGGATTCAAAAGAACTTGACACGACTTCTGAATGCAAATTCCATGTGGGGTATCTCTTCTTTTGAAGATAGGGTTGAGGAGTGCTGGGAACACCTTTTTGTTGTGTAGCGTACCATCCCCACCTCACGGCGCATATCGTCGAACACCTCTGAGGCGGGACAAGGACAAGCTCGTGCCACTTAGCAACATCCAACACTGAAATGGTGGTACTTCAGATCCGGAGACACCCATTGACTTTATTTACGATCTCACAGCGTAGCCGAGAGAGTACTGCTGAAGCTTAAAAGGACGACAACACCTACATGCGTGCTTAAACCTTATTCGTGAGACACACGAGCGACACAAGGTTTCTATGGGGAGTAGTTCGACCCCCCGGTCTCCACGAAGCTCATCACCTTTTTCCAGGCGGGCCGGCCGGTGATGTCCTCCCACCACGTCTTGACGTGCTTCTTGTCGTCCAAGAGGTGCGACAGGCCGCAGTTCTCCACGATGTAGCGGGTGGCGGGGATGTGGGTCAGGTCGGCCAGCGTGAACTCGTCGCCAGCCAAGTACTTGGTCTTCGACAGCTGCTTCTCGTACACCTCCAGGACCTTGTTGAGCTTGTCCACGGCGGCGCCGGCGTCCGCCTTGTTCGCGGGGAGGCCACGGATGGGGAGCACGAACAGGTTGAAGACGATGGGGAACGCCCAGGGGTTGTAGTTGATGGCCTCCACGTCCAGCCACTGGTCCACCTTCGCTCGCTCCTCCAGCGTCCGGCCGAGCAGGTTAGGCCCGCGGTCCTCGTACTTCGCCGCCAGATACCGCACGATGGCCCGCGACTCTGTGGAGCACAACAATGACGTTGACTAAGCTCCCATCGAAGCTAAACCACACAGCAGAAATCAACCACAAGAAGTCAAGCTAAAGGTGTTCACCGAAGAGCTCCAAGTCTCCGTCAACGATGTAGGGGACCTGCCCGAATGGCTGAGAAACGAAACAGGATCAAAGAAGTCAAGCACAACACATAGCGGGAAGAAGGGAAGGGGAAGAGCTACTTGTTTCTGGAGGAACTCAGGACGCTTGTGTTCCATGGTGTCGATGTCGACATGGACGAGCTCGAAGGGGACGCCCTTCTCCACCAGGCAGTGCATTACTCGCTGGGGGCACACCGCCTGAGCTTTGCCATACACCTTCACCACCATTTTCTCGTTCCGCAGGGATCGCTCGAGATATCCGAGTCTTCGTCTGGTCGCCTCGAAGCATGTAGTACCGTTGTCAGAGGGGGATATATATGGGGGATGAAACCTTGTCACCATCTGCAGGGAGGAGGTGGTGCCGGTGGTTAGCATGCGCATGGCGACCACCTAACTCAGCACGCGAATGAGCGAGTCCAGCAGTAGTGGGACTCGTTCGACTCCGCCGCGTGCCTTTAGATTCGGGAGTTGAACGGTTGCTGGTGTGGGACACACCCAACGGTCAAAGACAGTCGTTGAGATTATTAGGTGCCTCACTACCACATCAAAAGGTGGCTAATGTTGTTGTTGGGAGTCACAACATTTTATATATACATATACATATATATACATATACATACATACATACATACACACACATATATATATATATATATATATATATATATATATATTCATCTATTTGTAAATGTTTCTTCAATAAATATAAGGAAATATATGGAAATACATTCGTATTTCATGATTAAGAAAATATTACAACAATATCATTAGTTCATCTAAGCATTTACAAGTAATAATTTCTCCATCTCCAAATATGCAATCAAATTAGGAAGACTAAAACGTAGGAGCAAGTGAAGGGTTTTTGACGTGTCCTTTGACTTCCATTGCAATGTGGCCAAGAACTAGATTGTTGGTAACTAACAATTAGATTGGATTTGATTGATTTGTGATGGTAATAGTAATGTTTCCAATCAAATTAGTCACGAGAATCTCAACAACCTCTTCTATTTGTTACCACAAACATTAAATTTTGAGACGAACTATAGTGGATAGTAGGAAGGATTCATTATAATATTCAATTCGATGGGATGATTGACTCGTTCACCTGATGAGTCTGAACTAAGACCCAAATCAATAGGATCACTCATGTAGCTATGTCTATCTCACTTTGGACGCCAGAGAGCAAAGGACACACGCTAGTACTTGTCCTTAAAGGCTGATTAAGATCAATTCAGCCGCTCCAATCGCTGTAGTAATTGAGCTGAGTACGTATTAACTTATAGGATTCTTACTATAGTTCGATTTGGGATGAATTCAACTACAAAGTCGATTAGTGTCGGAGCTTTAATCGTAGTTTAGAATCGATTGTTGTGCCCAATGCAACCGATTTAATGGATCATCTTGATCGTCATTGTTGTAATGAAATGTGTTTAGAAATACTTATGAGACATAGCTAACCTAATAAATAGACTCCATCATCATTTCTTCCTCCCTACTGTTCTGTCCTTGTCCCTATACTTTTAATGATGGACATCATCTGATCACTTAGCAAAGCTGCAGGAGCCTAAAGACTATCATTCCCTCGAAAGTAGAACTTCTGTCCCACCATCTGATGCATTTCTTCTTTCATCATCTCACATGCAAACAGTATAGCTAACATGATCTTCCCCTATTTTTCTTCTTGAAAGGCCCACCATTTCCATGTTTTGTCTTCACAAAAGCTGGCCTCTTGTTGTCGACACATCAACCTGTATGCTTTCTTTGAGGAAGGAGATCTTTTGAGGGCATCCTTGGCAATTGGTTCCCAAGGGCTGGTCTCATCTGAAAAGAGTAGAACTTGGCATATCAAGATGGTGGCTTGTGGGTTTTCTTGGTCATGTGGTGAATGCCATGCCTCCTTGCTTTTGAGTACAGCTTCTTCCTCTTCCATGTGAACCTGACTGTTGATGTTACGGTCACAGCAGACGGCAGATGTTTCTATCTTTTTTTTTTTTTTTTTTGATTTAGACTCATGTGCATAGGATATCCGAAGTGTCTTCGAGGTAGATCCGAGGTGAAAATATTATTCTCCTGAGGTAAAAGGATAGTGCTCTCGAGGTGACACCTGTATGAAGATCAGGATAAGGGAGGTTTTTCAACCTAGCTCCTTCGATTCTTAAGTTAGTAATATGAAGTTTCTAAATATAAGATAAATAATTTAAGAAAAGAGAGAGTCATCCTCGTTTCTCATTTAGGATAAGATTTTAATACCTTAAAGACGGAGAGTTTAGAATTATCTTTCTTGACACAGAAAAAAATTTGTGATTCTAGTAAATTCCATACCGGTAGTCAATCTTTTTTCTTACTATTTCTTTTCCTATTTAGTAATGAGGTTTGGAGAATAATATTCCTCATAAATCCTGCAAAGAAGAACGAAATGGGACAAACTGATCGATTCTTACATGTAGGCATAGTTCGCAATTAATGATTGGGATAATGGTTTGTCGTTCTTTATGCTATTACTCTATCCGTAATCCATCTGTTTCGTACTACCAAAATAATTTTCACTTTTGATCTGATGTTCTCTACGATCCTTTTGCTCTACGTTAATATGATTTTGAATACCTTATGACGCATGTTCTTTTATTTTCTTATTCCAGCATGCCTGATAAGTTATGTCCTAGTAATAATCATTTTTTTCCGCTACTAATTTCCTCGCCTATATGAAAATGAGCAACGAATTAAATTATTTTTTATAATTAATAAATATATTACTATTAATTTGAACATAAATATTTTGGGTTAGTGATCTAAATCAATCGACTTGTGATGATTATTAGACATGATGAAAGACTCAAGGAAGAAAAACTATCCTTCCACTAACCAAAAGAGCACATTGGTATCATATGATATTAGACATGGCGAAAGACTTAGAGAAGAAAAGACTATCATTTGACGAACAAAAGAAAACACATTACGACTTAAAACCACCACTAGATTAGACCCTCTTAAGTGAAGGCATTATAACACAGATTTAATCCTATTCCATAAGTAGATAAAGTCACAAAACGACTTGTAAGAATGATATACTATTTTATCATGGACTTAGCTGGTTTACCTAAGTCATGCGGCATCTTTGTGTATCTGTCCACAAAGGATCAACCTCCCCGACATCTCTTATGATCTCTTTAGGACTTACAAAAGAGAAAATGAGTTAGAAAAAATGTTTAACTCAGGATCCACAACTAGTCATTTCAATAAACACTTGATAGACAAAACAAATTACAACTTCGCAAGCTTTGAACGATTGTGCGACAAAAGGTGAACGATTGTGCGACAAAAGGTCTAAGGTGATTTGCTGCAGTCAAAAATACCCACAAGTGCCCACATGACATTGTTGTGAAACAAGATAGTGAACTAACCTAGACTATTCAGAGCTTATGAAGTTATGTTTGTAATTTACATTATTTATCAAGTGTTTACTGAAATAATTATTTGTGGATATCCAATTAAACATTTTTTCTATTCTTTTTTATAGATTCTTAAGGGACCATAAAAGATTTCAGAAAGACTAATCCTTTACGAATGAATACGTAAGGATGTCTCACGACATAGGCCAAAATTAGCTATATCCACAAATTTGAACTCAATAATATTTCAAACTTAACAAAGTTAATGGATAAATTATCTCTCGTCGAACCCTAGTGTGTGTTGAATACTATTGATGGATGACGAGTCCACCTTGAAGACAATGGACACGACGACCACTTCCTATCAATAGAGGAACATGAAAAGTTCCATGAAGTACAACTACTCCTATGAATACAAACTATGACTTGTCAAACAATTTTGGTGGTATTTTACATTATTACTGCTGAATTGGGAACAAGTATTCAATTAGCAACCCCAGAAAGACATCATTTTTTGATCTGTGATGTTCCTTGAGCATTTTTATCTGCCCACATTAGTGGTATCTGCTTGCAAAACTACTTATTTTGTTAGAAGATGAAAGGTGCAATCTTTTGAACCTTAGTTGTCGAAGTACATAGAGACTTTGTTAAAGCCACAATCTATGTCCGGAACTTGCTTTTTGAAATGTAAATTTGAACAAAGGTACCTGAAAAAAAAAACGTATAAAGATATATATAGTTAGCAATCATAGTTGACATGGAACAGAATCATAAAAAATCAGAAACAATATGCAGGATCATCGAACTTGATGGCAAACAGTAACAATAATACCTGATGCAATGTGCTCGGATCATGCCCGATTTGTTCGCCGTCCGACTTGAAGGGCTAACTCTGTGTCTATCTTGAGTGAGATATCAAGTGCTTTCACAGAATGTGTCAAAGCTCCACTGCCACAAAATGAACATAACTTGGTCACTATTGTTATTATGAGGATGCTAATTCTTCAAACATGTATCTTGTTTTCCTGTCAGGTCATGTAATAACTGAGTGAATAACAAAACCATGGAACTAGGCATCAATGGACAAGGGATAGTTGTCAAAGGCTGAAAGCCCTCATAAATCAACATGAATTGTTGGTGATATGCATCAGGCTCAACAACAGCAGAATCATAGCAGAGTGGTGTAAAACAGCCGTCGAGAATCTCAATATCAGGAAGTGTCTTCAATCGTAGGATATCTAACCCGTAAACACAAGTTATATATCTAATTTCTGAAACAATGATCCAAATCTAACTGTTCAGGTAACAAAAAATGCTTCATACCATTAGATTAAATATTATGTTAACAGCCATGCCATCTTTATTAGTCATCTTGGATATATGATAATAAAATGCCTTAAAAATGCAAAGCTACCGCTCGAACCTGAATCAGCTAGAGAATATACCTGAGTCGTTTACCTGAAAGAGTGCCAACTTGATTTGATTGGTTTCTTTAATAGTTAATTATATGTTAATTAATCATGATTTCAAACTGAGCTTGTGTTTTTTATTTCTAGATCATGTGCCTATTTAGTAGGCATGCCGTACAAGTCGTTGGAGCCATCAAAAGAGCAATAGCATAGTAAAATTAATATACTGGCTTTCATGAAATTGACATATGCAATGCATTAAGAAATGACATCTCATTAATTAATAACATGAAGTATGATATACAATCGCATCCAAGTATACATTGTTAAATCAACAAGAACCACAGTATCAACTATTAGTTGCTTAATGAAACCAGAAACACCACGTAGTTGAAGACTCTTAAAGATTGACAGCTACTGTTGAAAATCGAGATGAACAAGAGTTATATGTTATAATGTCAACTAAGGAAGTTGCCTGTCATTAACCAATCTTGATCCAAGACTAACAAATCGATCTCACTATGGGAAGTCACAAAAGTATTTGACCAAGTCAAGTTTGGATCTAAAAGAGCAATTCTAGAAGATATAAATCCAACATCTACTCTATATATTAACAGAGACAATTTTTTTACCTGGAAATATAGGTTACTCCAGTTTCTCCAATTTTCTTCACTGTATCAATGGTGACATTTCCAGATGCCTGCCATCATTAAATGTCCAAGCAACATACTTCAAGTGAATTAGGTACACGTCCAATTTATAAAGAAAATATAAACAAACAGGAAGTTGCTCAAGAGCCACCTCGCCATCAAATAGATTAGATTGCATGATTAGCAGTTTAAAAAAGATTCCTGTGATAAATAGTCACCTTAGCAAGTTAGTGTCAATAGGTGTCCTTATATATGATAACGTAAAAGATGGTTTCCAAGGAAGAACATACATTATAGCATCAGTTAAGCATCATTATCTTTTCAGGAAAGAAGAGGAGTAACTAAGGGAAGTATATGATTAATATGATATGAAATTTGCTTACTTTTCATCCATGTGAAATGGATTTTATCAGCTAGCAAAAGCAAGAACAAAACACAGACAAAGGACTAAGAAACAAGTTATGTCACGTAAGAACTTTGAGATAACATGAAATTGCCACCATCTTATTAAATATACCGAAATCCAACAATTCTTGGAAGTAGTTTCTTAGTTCTGCATTCCAATTTCCACATAAAAGGCACAAAGCATGTCTGGCCCCTCAAAGAAATGAAGATTCGGATCAAGAAATTTAAGCACAAGTAGCAAAACAATCAAAGAAAGCAAATCACACTCCTTCCCCTTCTTACTTTCCTGAGAGATCTTTAAATAAGTTGTCAGCCCATAATGACATGCAATCAGTGTTGATGTAGGAAGTTGTCACTTACATCATGATTAAAAATATTTATACATGATCAGAGAATAATATAATGCTAGTCATATGAGCACACATCACTTGTAATCGAAAAAGTAGACAGTTACCTCGGTCTCAAATTTACCATTTATCAGCTGAACTGCATCCGTCAGCATTGAGACATCCACATCTCCATTTGGAAGAGGAACAATCATATTGTCCAGCATAATCCGAGTCAATGAAGTTTTATTTTTAGTGGCATATTGCAATAATTCTTCCAACTCTTCCAAGGTCCTTGTCTCTACCTGATTCATATTTTTATATTAGCTTCAAAGAAAAAGCAGCATTTAGCATGGATTGGGTGGTGCAGTGAAGCATCCTATGTTACATGCCATGACAGGCTGAAAGCATGAAATGTTGGTGTCATTCACTTCCCAAGATATAATCACAATTATAAAACAAACACATGCACAGCATGCAATTGCGTGTGCTGTAACAACAAATGCAGCATATGAATTGTGAGCATTTACAAGGCATATCAATCTTTGAAAATACAGAATTTTAGGAAGAAAATACTCTGTTTATATTATAGTCAATATCCTATAAAAAAATTTCATGTTGCAAAAAGAAAATGATTTTCACTTTCACATCCAACTGTACAGAGTTAAACTGACTATCACTAACTAGAAAATGCACATTGTAGAATCATACTTGTTAATGATCAGAATCAAGGTGAGGGTTTAGGAAAATATAGGCTTGATTCGACATGTTAAAGTAGAAAACTAGTGGCTAAAATATAATATATGTGGAAGTAAGAAAGTTTTAAAAATATTCTGCCAAAATCAAAGGAAACTATACAATGGCACCATGACCGCTTCAAACACTTCAATAAGGCTTTAAATGTCAATATCATCTGATAGGGGTTCGTGTGCACTCTACCTCAACAGGCATTTCAAGATTCTTTTGTTGCAAGTACTGATCCACTGATTTCAAAGCATTCATGACACCGCCAGCTATTGATATATGATTATCTTTTATCATTACCATATCAAACAAACCCAACCTGTGGTTTTTGCCACCACCAATTAGTACCTGATTTTAGGAAGTGAATTGTCAGCAAAACTAAGCACAATAACTAACTAACTATTAAAACAGGACTGCACAAAAAGGTGAAATGATAAGTACCGCCCATTTATCTACCAAACGTAACCCTGGAGCAGTTTTCCTAGTCTCTAAAATGCAAGCAGGGTGAGCAGCATCTGCCATTGCCTGAAGAGAGCAGCAACATCTTATGTTAGTGATACATAAACATGTCTAAATCATCTCAGAATATATTATTAGAGATTTAAAACAAAACTATTTCAGAAAAGTCATGCTCATTTATACAAAAAGAAAAAGATCAATCAGGATTTATATTATGGAAGAAAATATCAGCATATGACAATGACCAATGTATCAGTGTAAAAATGCAAATCCAGCTGAGAAAGACGAATTTAGTGCAAGACTTAAATATTTAAATTAAATGAGTCCAGGGTGGCCCAAATAAGCATGTATACATTAGCCCTCTCCAATCTTTGTGTTGGCGGAAGCCTCATGCATTGGTCCATGTTTCTATAATTTTGCTTCAAAATGTTGATGGTTATTTGATCAAATAAACAAAAAGAGAGAACAGAGTGGACGTTAAGAATGTCAAGCAGCTTCAAAAGCAAAATAAATCAACCAAAAATCAACAGGAACTAATGCCTTTCAACATATGGAAATGGGATCGTAGTCAATTTGGTGGTGCCATGTCATGGAACAATCATATGGATCACCAAAACCCAACCATTTAATTTAGTTGCACTGATGAAGATGGGGATGGACATCTCATAAGTGTTGAAACTAACGTATGACAATGTGTAAGGTTCAATATCGCATTTTGGTCCAGGCATCAATCATGAGGTGCAAAGAAAAAGAAAGAAAGACGAAGGGGAATAGGATTCTCAGTACAAACAAAAGTGCTAAGATATGCTGTTAATATGCATAAGTATATTGTTCCCCCTTTTTCCCTCCCTATCATCTTTACTTTTGTTTTTTGTTTCTAATCCTAGTAGCTTTCAATGTTGCCATGCTGAAATCTAGGTCCATACTGATATACCACACAGTTCCAATAGCTGAACAACCTTGTAAAGATTGAAATTGCAATCTGTGTTTAGATTCTTAATAAATCACTCACTATCAAATTGTTTTATTTAAACAAAAACAAGAAAGTTTACAGAAAAATAGTAAAGGTGTTAAAATAACAGAAAAGATGCAACTTGCAAACAACAACTTAAAGTTTCTTCTAAAGGAATTATACTGCCCATCAGATGAAAGGCAAGAATTTACAGTTGACCAAATAAACATTACCTTAAAAACACTTGTTCAATTGAATGGGGTTAACTAATATTTGTCATGCAAGGTGATCTCTAGAATAGCCTAAACATCAGTAACAAAGATATGATTTATCTGAATACAGTTGGTATATGCACAATAACTTGAAGGTCTTTAAACCTAAGCAACCACTACCTCCGCTCCATACTATAGACCTTATTATATCCATTACATCAGAACTACATATGACAAACAAAAATACATGATGTCACTAATCAGACAACACACAAATCAAGTATTAATTGATACAGGGGGATGATGCACCTTGGTTAGTGTTGCTATTCCACTCATTCTTTGCATGAAATTAAGGACAACCCTCTCCGCCACAATGATACTATGTGCACATCCTGAAATTGAACAATAGAAGAAAAGAAAAAAAAAGAATCAGTAAGCACCGACTTGTATATAGAGTACATATGGAGTATAATGATCAAGCTAAATATAACTCTAGTTGTACCATATACTTTGCCAAACTGCATGCCCTTGCAAACATGATCTCCATCTTTTGCAAACCATTGAACCTATCAAAACATGTTGGAAAGTCTCCAATTGAAAATGAAAGTCATTTATGGAATCCAGAAAAAAAATAAAGCTACAAGTTATACCTTCAATGAGGGGTCAACCTCATTAAATATCATTTCTGCAAGAGAGATTCCAGCAACAATCCCATCGTCCTTCGCGATGAAGTGAGCTTCTGCTTTCATATCCTTTGGAACAGTGGCCAAGCAAGTCACATCTCCTGTCTCAACAAAGAGAAGTATCAGTCAGATTATAATCATATGTCCATTTGAATTCTAAAGGGTTGCCATTATTACGTTGTCAAAAGATCACAGCACTGCAGAATCAAAACATTCAAACACAAGTTAGACATTCCAAAACATGTGGTATAAGCTTCAAATTATCTATAAGTTCAAAAAATAAATATCAATAAACAAGCATGGACAATCTGTGCTTAAAAAGAATTCTTTCTTGCCAAAACTATGACTACAGAAACTATTGAGTGCGTGCACCTTATTTTTCCTCTACTCTTTTGGCCATTACTGGTCCAAATTTAAATTTATTTCATTATTTATTACTTATCAAATTTCTAGGATATGATTCTTTGAATAATACTCATTATTTCAATGGAGATCAGATGTAACACATCATTTTCTTGGAGCTCTAGTCTCTCAAGGACTATAATCCCTGATTCAAGGTAGTGCATAATTCCTTTTCATGTTCATAGAATTACATTTATAAGAAGTTCAGTAGAATTTCCTTTAAAGTAAAAAGAGCTCTATGCATCACATCAAGGATTCATGTTACACTGGATGAACAGAGCAACATTATGGTTATTGCACATAACAGTTATGCATCCTGTGATAGCCATAAAGATGAAAATCTGTTAGGGTAGCTGAGAAACATTATGCCATACCAAACATAAAGTCACAAGTTTTTATGGCAGTTAAGAATCATATTATAATTAAATATTTCATGAAAAATTTCAGAACCATTCAGCTTATAGTTCCAAGTTCATACAAGCACAACTTCTCTTGCAGCTAATATGCTAATAAATTTATGGAAGTCAGTGTTAGTATCAATCTCAATCGTTGAGATTGTACATTCAAAAAATTCATGGACGTGGACAAACATAAGCATTCAAGACTACAGCTAACTTTATTGCAGACGGATGTACATACTATCATCACCTATTAATTAGATAGGAAAAATTAGATCTTTTCAATTAAGTGCAATGCATAATACAACTTGAATCTTTAGAGAAAAGTAAACTGAACATAAAGCCACAAGATGAGGAAGTGAAAAAAAAAGAATTAAAAAATCGACTTGGCAGTATTATAGAAACAAATGGGCAAATTCTAGAGTATCCAGTGCATCAAAATGCAAACTTGAAAAAACAAAGTCATATTAAAAGGATGCTAAGACCCTAAAATTAAGAATTAAGCCAGCATAAAACTAATTCTGCCAAAGTAAGAAGAAAAATAAGAAACTATGCGTATCGGGAGAGGAGAAGGAGATAATAGACCTCGATCGCCAGCATCTTCGGAGAGAGCGAGGGCGATCACGGCCTTTAGATCGTAGGTAGGGTGGGAAGGCGGCTTCACAGCCATCGAATCGGCCGGGACGTCGGCGACTGGGATCCTTCCGGCGTCCCAAGCAGATACCGCCATGATCCGGCTCGAAGACCGAAGGGAAGCGTGGACGGAGCTGGGCAACAGTCGAAGGGGCAAGAGGAACGAGGAGGATCGGAAAGAAGCTGCAAGGGGACCACGAAAAGAACAAGAAGAGGCGGCGGTCGGTAAAGTGATCGCGGGCATCGCCGCCGTCGACGGCGTCTATAAGCTTTCAGCCGGCGGGAGACGGTTAGGAAGAAGGGCGAGAATTGGACACGAGAATCGGGCGGGGGCGATATCTCGGAGGTAGTGGTTCTGGCAGCGGATCTTCTCCAATGGTGCCTTAAGATGGTACCACGCAATCCCATATCACAGCCGTCCACGTCTCTGAAACCAACCACCAATCGAGACGTGAATTCTTCCATCGGAAATGATCCGTACCGTTAATTGGATAGGAACAAAAGTGATGGATGATCCAAACCCTCCAGACGTCTATGATGGGACCCTTAACTTGCCCGTTCACCTTCCACTGTAACGGATATGTCTTGTTGCTTTGGAGGGGGTGATGATGAAGGAGAAAGATGACTCGAGGAATATTAGTGCCCACCTCAATGCATCACATTGTGAGCCCTACGTGTCTAAATTATCTAGCACGTAAACAAGCTAACTTAGGGAGCCAGTATAGTCTGTAATATTTGGAAGGTTGAGGTTTAAGGGTGCCACTGGATGGCGCTCTTGTAACCTTTTTGCAATGATTCAATGAAACTATAAAAGGATAAAGCATCAACTATTATAAACTGTTGCTTCAAAGTACTCCAAGCTGAACGGGAAAAAAAAACCATCTGATAACATTACAAGGATTCATTCAAACACAAGAATCAGCAATATTGTGAAAAGACCATAGTAGCAAGAATGCTTTACCACCCAAATCTCTGGTTATATATGCTATCATAAAATAAGCAATGCTGTGACACTGCTGATGCGAATCATCCCCGACAATGTTGCTCCTGCATACTTCAAGATTGCTACAACTACATTTCAGCTGGCAGATACAACTAATCTTTTCACGAAAAGCCATACACATCATATTTGAGCTCCAATTATATGTGATCATAAGAGCAGATTGATGTTCCATGTCAGAGATCCAGAAACAATGCATTATGGTCTGATTGAAGTTTTAGGTCCCTGTAGTATACAAGCCACCATGCACATCAAGGGCACCAAGAGCACAAGATTTGGATCCATAGTCTCTCAAGTAACCAAACAACAAATAATAAGGAATACACGACACAGCAAAAAAAAGACATGTTCATATCTTACAGGGAGAAGGAAATCATGCTCTCATGCTTGAAAACAGAAAGACTGCAGAAATCTGTCATGATAGTGAAGAACTCTCACTAAAATGCATCCCAATTAGTTGTTCCCTTCTTAGGACTGTGACTTTCTGAGGACTTGAATGGTTCGGACCCAAACAAGTCACCACCATCAAAGGATGAATAGCCCCTACTGTGGTCTGTGGTGCTGCGCATAGAATCAAACCTTGCAAAGCTTTCACCCCTGCTGCTGTTGTAGTCTGTGGTGCTGCGCATAGAATCAAACCTTGCAAAGCTTTCACCCCTGCTGCTGTTGTAGTCTGCGGTGCTGCGGATGGAGTCAAACCTCACAAGGCTTTCACCCCTGCCGTAGTCAGTGGTACTACGAAATGAGTCAAACCTTGAAAGGCCCTCACGCTGAGCAAAAGCACCAGTGTCATTCGTGCCAAAGAAATCATGTTGGGAAAAGCTATCAAAAGAGTGGTCATCTGGCCCTTCGGTAAACCTCGGTGAAAATCCAGAGTTGAATAAAGGTGTACTAGGAACAGAATCAAAGAATGGGCCCTTCTCCTTTCCACCTACACTAGCTGCACTGGGAGAATCCGTCTTGATTGGAGGAAATAAACCAAAGTCATCAGACCCAAAGGAGAAGTTTTGTCTTCGCTTCTGATGATCACTCTCCTGGGGTAGGATACACGTCATCACATCATGATAAAAATATGAACATGGCATCCATAAAATTCATTAATAAGAAAATATAAAAATCAGGAAGATTTTTGAAATGTTTAACCTTTGGATTAAAGCTCCAAACAGAATCAGTATCATCAGTGCGATCAAAAGTTGGACCCCATGAAGGCTCACCAGCATGCTTGTCTTCCAAAATAAAGGATTCAGCAGCATCATGATCACTGAAGTACAAAGACGCAAGTTCAGCAGAAACTATAATAACTGCAGGTTGTGATACATAAATGACAAAGCATTTAATTATTTATAGTCATTAGTTTAAAAATGTAACTATAGCAGTCTTTAATTGACCACCCAATGACACTGCAAATCAACGCGAAGGTGAATTTACATCAGAATTAAATCATAATGCACTTTTCATTAAGCATCAACTCAGGGTAGACCATTCAGAGAATACTCACATGGTGAGACACTTAACTGTGACTCGCAATTCTCCCCCTGAAGATGCTTTGCTAAATCCAATGGTCTCAAAAATTATAAAAACCCAGAAAGGGTAGTGGATCATGCACAAGATCAAAACTAACAATAAGCAAATCAGTCACCAGCATCTGTTTGTGGTAGAGAAGAAAGCAAACTATTCCAACTGTCCACATTGTTAATTATTAAAGACACAGGCATTGAAGCGCAGTTCAACAACAAATCTCACTTTTATTTTTATGATAAGATGCCAATTAGCAAATTAGCAAGCAAAGAAAAAACTTTCACATAAGTTACATACTTTGGCCTCAGCAGAAAAAAAAGATGGACGATCTTATGAAGAAAATATATATTAAACTGTATATATTGGATATGCGTGTGCAGACGTATACACCAGATTCCATATGGACATGTAAAATAAATTATTCTAAGCAACTGCTTTAAGAAACAGCAAAGAAGAAACAGTCAGTACATCAATCAGTTGCCACACAATAAATTTCCTTCAAAAATGCCTGACAAATGTGCTTTGACCATTCAAACACACATTCCAGGAGACCATTGCCTAAATGGTCTTCCTCAAATTCCCAAGTGTCTGAATTCTGATGTCACTTTTTACGTATGCTCAAGCATTCTAATGAAGATAGCAACATAAAATTAACTAGAGTTTAGCATGGAAGATTCTTTATATTCAAGGTGATAAACAATTCAACTTTTTCATTTTGCAATGCTTGCCTATGTTATAAAACTTGCCAAGTGTCTAAGAAGATTCATTCATACCTGCTGTTTTCATTTGCATGGGGTGAGCCATCATGTCTAACAGACACATGGTGAATGTCTTTAGGACTTTCCAAAGCACTTGTTCCAGGACTGCTGGGACTTTTAGCTAAGCTATCATCACCGTCAAGATTGGTAGATCCATTTTCAGTCAAAGGCGCTGTGGCTGTAGAAGGCTTCTCAGTCTTGTTCTCATCATTTAAGCGTTTGTCAGTCTCATCCTCATCACTGGAACGTTTCTCAGTCTCATTCTCACCATTGGAATGCTTCTCAGTCTTGTTCTCACCATTAGAAGATGATGCCCGCGACACTTCCTCTGTAGAAAGTTTTTCTTTTTTAACTTCTTCAGGCTTGGACTTTTCAGTAGGCACAACCTTCTCCACTTCAATTGTGAGCTCCTTTACAGCTACAAAACCTAAAAATGAAAAATATAGCCAATTAGTGAATTTACCTACAGTTCATGCCTTGGTACAGCTTAGTCATATTGTCTTATTACCTTGAATTGAACTAAAACAGAAGTGTTAATTGATACGACACTAGGCACCATCGAAGATAATAGGACAAAATGGAGTTTGGATATATGCTAGAGCACATTGGACCATACCAGAGAAAACATGATCATGGTTTAGAAACTAGTCAGACCAGTTTGCACCACCTGGTATATACCAGTCCGACTAGGGATTGACACCCAGACGAGGCAATTTTCTGCCAGTGCAGTTTGAAACTGGCTTTAGGGAATCTTTTTGACTTGACAGCAACAGCTGTCTTTTTATTTATTACCCCTCTCCCAGTACTGCCTATTGCCTCGCCACACTCCTTTGCCCCCTCCTCCGCTTCTCCGCATTTTCCTCCATCTTTGTCTCCTCTCCTCCCCTCATCTCTCCCTCTCTTTGGTCTATGTCAGCTGGTACACCGATAATACCATGTATTGGTGTAGATTGGTACTTGCAAGACCTATACCAATCTGACTATGGGGCTTGGATTGAAACTTAAATCCCTGAACATAATTATATTGAAATTTAGCTATGATGAACAAATAGGATATTACACTATATAATGATAAGATCTACAAACTGCAAGCAATCGTACAAAAAACAGAAAAAAAAAAAAAAGAGACCCACTGCCAAAAGAGTTCAAAATATAATTTAGACATATATATTTATTTACAGGTAATCAGAAGGAAGGTTTAAACCTTCAAATCAAACTGAAACATGTAACCAAACCAAAAATTGGTTACCAAACCCATCGATTCATTTTTGGTTTGAATTTCGTGCTGTATACTTTAATATGTTGGAATCAGTTACACTTCGGACCCTACAGAAATAAGACAACTGATATAATACACTATATAGATATGTCAAACCTTTGAATAGTCCAAGCCAAACACAAACCGGGCTTGAGTGATGAGTCAACTCAAGTTGGGCTTGAACCTTAATGATGGCCGAGCCTTTGACTAGTCCAGGCCGAACACAAACAAGCAACTTGTTTAATCAAACCAAATACAAGCAAGCCCCTGTTCCCTTGAGCTTGGCTCGTCTATACTCCTATGACTAATGATGAAAGAATCCAAAAAATGTATTCAAGCAATGTTATGGTTGGATTAATTCCCTAGGTGCCAGCATTGCATAGTATGGAAAATATGTTGTGCCGTGCTCTGAAGAAATGGTGCTCTTGTGCCATGACGTGACAAATATTACTCTAAATGCATATACAAAATATTAAGGAAATTATGGTTCTAAATATCTGTCAGACAGGTACATACCAACCAAAATATAAATTATAATGATCCAACTAAGCCCTGATTATGGACTATACAACTTGGTAACACTTTGACATGTAACTTGGTACCATATTAGTCGTTAAAGTTATCAAAACTTACGGACAAGCATTTAAACCCACATAGTGTAGAAGATGCTATAAAAGCCCTGATATATTCAACATGTGTCAGAAGTATTTATCAAATGTAGGTCTCATTGATAACTAGCGGCCATAACAAGCATGTCAAAATGTCCACGCTCCATAAGATCAACGATTATCAGTATCAATAGCATCCTCG